ATGATTCTTACCCAAGTCTTTCTCTTGAGCCGCAGCCTCAGCCTCATATCCCTTCAGCTCCTTCATAACACCCAGCAACGTCTCCCCCTTCCGTCCTACAAGCACGCACCACGCTCCCTCGTCCGCAAAACGCTTCGCGATCGCCTTGCCGATACCGCGAGAGGCACCGGTAATGAGACAGCGTTTTCCGGTGAGTATTCCTTGTTTGAAATTGATATCCTTTTCCACGTCGACCTTCTCTTCACCCGTCATCGGCGGGGGTGCTGGAGATTCAAAAGACGGATTCCTTGCCTCGGAAACCGGGGAGTGTGGTAGGCCACTCGTGTGATTCTGCCTGGCTTGATTGCATGCTGAGAATCGTCTTATATGGATAGCTAGCATGGGTTCATTGACGCGTCCTGTAGTATTTCCTGGGAAGTGGCCAGACATGCGGTTTGCATGTCCCCTTCCATTCTTCACCCTCGCTTGGGCAAGCACTTCTCCTCTCCCTCTCCGCGCGTCTTCAAAACCAATCCTTCCATCATGATGACCGGCTGCTCTCGTAAATGAGCGCCATCGCCATGCAGGTTTAGCGTTAGTAGAGAGAAGGTCTGAGGGGGCTGGTGATGAATGCTCATGCTTGGCTGTACGGTGGAATGGAGAGATGATAGACGGCGTATATGCTCTCCTGGATATGTGGGATACGAGACGATAGCGAGAGGGGATACGGAGAGGCCGCATCGTGGTTGGTTGGGTGTCGAGGAGGTGAAGTCTCGTGATATAAAAAGGTCAGAATTTGGGGTTGCGCCTGAGGCTAGGCAAAGGGGTTTACAAGATGTCATCTATTCATAGATATATATTTTCAACCCTTCTAAATCAAAGTTTTTCTTTTCTTGTCCTACTTCTTATAATCGTTCAGTTATTCCGTATGTCCAGATTTGTGGGTTTGGTCCGCAAGAACTGCGCTTTCAATTGCAATTGGTATACACGTGGACCAAGATAGATTCAAAGATCAACAAACCTAGATGCCAAAAGACAATTATCACGTGTAGTAATAGAGGGTCTTTGAGCTTCTAGGCCCGGGCTACGAACGGGACCTAGTACATGACATTGGAAACAATCTGCTCTGGAAAGGTATTCAGAATTTGCTTCGATTATTAAGACTTTCTAACTCAGCATCTATTATTATGTTATTCGAATCGTTGGCGGCATCCGGCCTAAGGCGTTGGGTATAATTAAATCATTTCATGAAGTGTTCCGGAGCTCCCGGACGGATTGGTGGATCCATGGTATTGGATGGCAATCATCGATATTACTTGTACTCAGACTTCCAATACGGTAAGTCCAGCCCAAGTACCCCCTACTATCTGTTTTGCGTTAGATCTTTCGTCGTCCACGTTGCACCCCCTAGACTATCCTGCACCCAAGCTGCTTCTAAGTCTCCATCCCTCCGCCCCTGCTCGATACTAGAATCGACGCTCCCTCCCTCGGTGCTTGAATCGGAAGCCATAACAAGTTCGTAGTCCTTCTCCGGCTGCGTATCAAATGCGTATTGCAACCGCGTTCCCTCAAAAAGTCGTTGCCAGCCATTCCCTCCTGAAACTCCAAAAGCATACGCTTTATCAATGCGTACTAAACTCCTGTAGAATATCGAAAACACAAATGCTGAATACAAAAGCCCTCCTAGCAGATCGATACGCCAATGATGCCGCAAATACATCGTAGAGAACCACTGCCATAATACGTAAAATCCAAGAAGAAATTGCCCCCTCCGAGAATACCGGGCGACAAACAAAAAGCAGCAGCAGCTGAATGCTCCGTGTAGGGATGGAAAGGCGCCAAACACGAGAGGAGATGCCTTGAACGCATTTTGATAAATGTGAGTTCCTAGGACTGCATCAACACGGACTAGGCCTGCCGCAGAACCTGGCATGCTGTAGTTTCCTGGGGGTAGAGGATATCCATATTGATCGCCGTACCAAGGAGCCGCAGTGGGGAAAGATAGATGGGTGATTATCCCCAGACAGTTCTGAATGCCAAAACACCATGCGAATATGGATACAACTCCGGGGGATGCAAACAGCCAGAGCCAGAATGCTGCGAGGAAGGGAGAGATGAAGTGGATCACGCCATATGAGAGCCACGCCTAACAAAATTAGTTTTGACCTTTTCCCTGCCAACGCTGGACACCTACAAAAACATCAAGTGGTTGACAAAGAGTGTGTGTTGCCGCGTAGAGAATGTTGAGAAGGAAAGGGGGGAGCGTGGCTAGTATGGAAAGCTTTGGTCTTCTCGTAAGCGCATACATCCACGAATAGCCAAAAACTGCACATATGCATTGTATTGAGAGGCCAGTAAAGTTGATATCGAATATTCGGTGATCGGCTCGCTCGAGGTAGTTGACTCGGATATGGGGTCGAATCGAGGAATCTATGCGGTACGCTGGATAATAGTTCAGCTCTCCAAGTTCCAAGTCAAACTGCAGGCAAAATGCATACCGTTCTTGAAAGTGGTAATCCAGATCAGGATAAAGGTCATGTTAATCAGGATATGTCTGAGCAGACCAAATAAGGAGTGTCTAGGTTGCCATCCTTAGCTATACGGCGCATGGATGAGGCCGGTTGGTGGCGGAATTAGAACATGGCTTCACACATACCTATTGAGTAGAGTTTTGTAGATATGAATGAAAAGGCGCGGTACGACGCCAAGAACATCCTGCAACATGGTGATTGAAGGATGCTCAACGCGAAAAGAGGGCAGGAGCGGCAAAAGATCCAGGCGCGAGTTCCATAGGGGGAGGGAGAGGAGGAGGAGGAGGAAGATGAGAAGGAAGCAGAGGAAGAGGAATAAGAAGAAGAAGAAGAAGAAGAAGACGACACCGACGACGAAGGTTAGGAGAGGAGTGAAGAATACGGTGCGAAGAATGGAAACAAGGCAAGATCTCCGTACTGCTTGCTGCACCGGTAAAGAGAGCAAGGTTGAGATCGGACTTTCCTTGTCTCCTGGAGACCGACCCAAGCGCGCTCTCTGATGTGTGCTCCACTGAAAAGCTACATTCGTACCTACTACCCAGGAATTACGTCCGTAATGTTGGAAGATCCCTGGAATTTACAGGTAATTCTATATCCGACAGTCCGACATCGACAGTCTAACAGATGCACAACTTTATGCGCCGCTTGTGGCCGAGGCTGAATCTGAGCTGAAGTCTTTAAAAAGTCTGAAGATAAAACAAGATCCGAATTATTGTACTGTAGTAGAAGTTACCATAGAAGCCGTCCAACGCCGTCCAACGCCGTCCAGTCCAGTCCAGGACTATAAAACTCAACCAAAGTATCGGTATTCATACGGGGGTTTGTATATTTGCCTCATTCTATTTATCGTGATAGAACATCGTGATAGAACACATGAAATGGGCATAAGAGTCTGAACAGTACGCAGGGCAGGAGGTACCTCCGTAGGTGAGCCAGAGCCTATAATACTGTATATAAAACTTTCACCGCAGCCCCGGCTCCACGGATCCTACTCGAGCCCGACCCGCATCCGCTTTGTGCATCGTAAATTTAACTATACATACCGTAGGTAAATTACCTTTAACATTAGTGTTTATGCGCGTGTCTGTCATTGCAGTATTAAGCCCACTACATGGTGAGTCTTCATCACAACAATACTTGAAGGGGAAAACAAAAAAAAAGATGCTGATGGAATTCATCCCCTCTCTGTACGGCTATTGTTATTTGCACAGATCTTTTACTGTCTGCAACTGGGTCGCAATGGAATCTACCAAATCAGGTACGGTACCAAGGTAGCCAAGCTAAGGCCAGACCAAAAAAATCGAAATGCTTGGCGTCACGTCCTGCACAGTGTCGCGTGTTCCGTACCATCTTGAAGGTACCGCATCCGCTCTACCTCCAGAGCTGCCAACCATGGCGAGCTCCAGCCAAAACCAAGCACCTAGCAAGTATGTCACGCTCATCTCCAGCGATGGCTTTGAGTTCGTTGTCTTGCGAGAAGCTGCGTGTATAAGCGGAGCCATCAAGAGAATGCTGGATCCCAACAGTGTGTACTTCCTTCCTTTCTCTCCCGCCTCAAAACCCTCTATCCAGGATAGATCACTTACACTGCGAAAACACAGGTGGGTTTCTTGAATCAACCACCGGGCGATGTCAGCTCGCAGAGATCAAGTACGTACGTTTCCATCTCACCTCGAACATTCGTAAATGCGAACACCGGAGACAATATATGCAAAATGGCCAAGCAAGGGTGGAAGCTGTCACAGTCGATGATTATATCAACAAGAACTTGCGGACAGAACCTCTTTCGCCCCAAAGCAAAGTAGTGACGCTGGATGATGCCTATACACTTGATCTGAGGCCTGATATCCTGCCCAAGCTAAACCAAGGAAGCCACTACAGTATGCATACGGCACGTTGAACTGACTCGTTTCTCAACAGCGGAATTGTCCTTGAGAAAGTTGCCGAATACTTCTATTACAACTACAGGAACCGAAACCGCGAAGATGTGCCAGACATGGAGATTCCACCTGAGCTGTGCTTGGAGTTGTTAATGGCGGCAGATTTCCTAGACAGTGAGCTTCGCCTCCCTCTAAAGTATGTACTAGTGCTAACATATTATTCTAGCGTGAAACGATATGATGTAAATTGTATGGCGTTTGGGAGGTACACGAAAAGATATGGATATGACACGGAGTTTGGGCACAATTACAGCATAATGAAAGACGAATCTCAGTACCTCATACCCCGGTCTCGGAAGTGAGCTGTCTTTTCTAACAAACCAACCCCTCGCGATTGACAATTAGCGGCGCTAGACTTTCATTGTATCAGTCCTAACGTGATGTTGAAAGTCGACAATAACGAGTGCTACTTTTTATGTCACTACGATCCCCATTTGAGCATATGCGTTCTTCTTCACTCATCCATGGGTCGAACGTCTATAGATGATGGTAGAAAAACTACACTACCCGCTTATTTAGTCTACATCTACTTTATCAAAGATTGTGGCTTTATTCCAAGGGAAACATCTTGTCCTTCGCAATTATTTGCGTTCTTGCTTTGTGGAGCAAATCTCAGCAATGATATCCTTCGAGTGCTGCACGGCTTTGCCGCACTTACTGTTGTACTCTTGAAAGTTCTTGTTGGCAGCACAGTAGTTGGCGTGCATACTCCATCCACTGCCTAGTTAGACACAAGAGTGAAAAGTCTATCAGAACTTTCAATGAATGGCAAGTCTAAATACCCAACCGTGGGCCTCTGGCTAGGCCCAAATAGTTAAGTCAAGAAATTATACTATATGCCAAGATTCTATTCGTCGTGATTGCCTCTCTTTGGTGCGATAATTTGACGCAGACCACATTCTGAAATCTGCTCAAACTTCGAAGCCATGCCAAGTATTTGAGTACAGGATAAGTCGTGTCTCCGGGGTCGCTTGTCCGCACCATTGTGAAGATCAGGCGGCCCACTTGGTTTGACATATTTACCCCTCGCTTCGGACGTATCAAATGCTGAAACGGTTCTTGGTCGAGCATCTGTAGCCGCAAGCGCCATCTGATGTTCTCATGCGTTACCCATTTATAATAAGTTGAGTACCTCTCTCTGGTCTTCTTGTCTTCTCTGGTCAATCACTGTCTTTTATACATTCTCATCACACTCTTTACGCTGGTTCGTTTTGTATAACATTTTCTTGCAATATACCCCATCATGTATTTCTACGCCGCTGCCTCTCTCCTTCTTCTTGCAACAGCACAGGCCTCGGTCCTGAGCACAACGAACATCGCAACAGTACTAGCCGGCGCTACTTCTCAATCCACGCTCACTATCCCAGCCGATGCTATGGCTGCCATAGCAAAACTTGGGACAGGAGGGTCTACAGCCTCAACCCTCTCCGCGGCAGACAAATCAGCTATCTCGTCTTGTACGACTACAGCGCAGGCCAATAATACTGCCAGTAAAGCCAATCTCGGCGGAGGAACTGGTTCAGCAGGAAACATTGCATTGTAAGCATCGAAAATTGGGCATCTGAAATAGAAATATGCTAATGGATACCGTAGTGTCACAAATAAAATAACAACTCATGCCTGCGAAAGTGCGGGCCAGCAGATAGCCTTGGCCGCTGGAGGAGCCGCGGCCAGTGACACGGATGTCAATCTTTTGATATCAAACGTTGGGGTTCTGAATGCGAACACTGACGCTGCCGGCATCACACGAAAGAGGGATATGGGATATGCGAGGTCGTTGAAGGAGTATCTGGCATTGAGGAAGGCGCGAGGGTTGATATGAGTAGGGAATTGAACAGAGCATCTTGAATATTATTACTTCGAGAGGAGAGCGGGTTGCCTCGGTACAATCCTAAGTTAGTTAGTAATCGAGGTATGAAGAAATGGCCTAGCACTTGCTATAACTTGCAGAATGAAAGAACATATTATCAATACCCGGGTTTTTTTTAAATCATGAGTTTTTAGGTTTGCTTATCATTGCCAAGAGGGCGGGCAACCCCCACTTACTCCAGGTGTCATTATCATGGAGGGGCAGTGGAGTGGAGCTACTGGTGAGTGTATCCGAGTTAACATATTTCTTACCCTGGATGCCGTTCTTCTAGACTTCATTTTTATTCATATCCACGTCCGTTCTTTCTCGTTTTGGGTTGTTTCTGTGTAACAGCGTCATAATGGGACAACACTATAAAGATATCGCAGAAAAAGCCCTTAAACGCCGAGAAGCTGCAATTCCAAAGGAATATCTTCTACCGCAAGAATCCCTCTCTAATCTACCTCAAAATTTGACAACAATCCCCAAAACCTCGGGCCACTTCACAGCTGGGGAACTAGAGATCATTGAGAGCAACGCTGAAGAAATACTCGTCAAAATTAAATCAAAGACATGGACCTCCCTAGAAGTCACAAAGGCTTTTAGCAAGGCTGCTATTGTTGCGCAGCAACTGGTCTGTTCAGGACTGCCCCAAATTCAGACAAGTCGGCATATGCTAACACAAAGAACAGACAAACTGCCTAACAGAAATCCTAATCCCAGAGGCCCTCGCCCGCGCCCAATTTCTGGATGACCATCTTGCAACGACCGGTCAGGTGATAGGTCCTCTCCATGGCCTACCAATTTCCCTCAAAGACTGTATGGTCACCCCTCCCCACCCTTCATCCCTCGGCATGGCATGCTACGCCAACGAAGCCACATCTGAGGAGACCGTGCTTGTCTCCATCCTTGCCAAATTGGGAGCTGTGTTCTACGTCAAGACTAACGTCCCGACCGCCATGATGATGATGGAAACCATTAACAATGTTTGGGGGGAGACGAGGGGGGCTTACCATAGTGGGACGAGCCCTGGAGGAAGCTCTGGGGGTGAGGGTGTATTACTTGCGATGAGGGGTAGTCCCTTGGGTGTGGGGACAGACATAGGGGGAAGCATCCGAATTCCAAGTGCTTTCAATGGACTTTATGGTTTGAAGCCTACGTGAGTTCTTTAAGATCGAATCAAAAACATATCTGACAGGAGTAAAGATTTGGAAGATTCCCAGTATACGGGACGAAATCCGGGATTACGGGGCAGGACTTTATATTTTCCAACAACGGCCCAATGTCTAGATCCTTGGAAGCCATCAAGCTCTACTGCAAAGCCGTTCTCTCAACAGAAATTTCTCCCTGGAATCTGGATCCTAAATGTCTGGCTATTCCCTGGAGAGGCGAGACTATCACGCCTAAAGAACGAAAACTCCGTTTTGGGATCATCTCTGATAACGATGGTGAATGGAGCGTACACCCACCTATTTCTCGTGGCCTTGCCATGGCCAAAAAGGCACTGGAAGCCGCCGGACACGTAGTTTTCGAATGGGCACCCACAAATCACCCCGAAATGGCGCACGAAATGAACTCTTCTTTCCATACGCTCGGGGGTGCAGCAATCCTGAGCCTGACAGAGCAACACGAGGAGCCGGTTTTTGGGTCTATGAAGGCGTATGAAGTGACGTATAAGAAAGGAGAGGGTAACCTGGGGCCCACGAGATTGAGGGAGATGATTACGCGTAGGAATGCGTTCCAAAAGGCTTATATGGATAGGTGGAACGCAACGGCTGAGGATGGGCAGGTTATGGATGGAATTATTCTGCCCTCATCACCTTGGACGGCACCGAGATTGGGGTTTACGCAGAAGGTGTTCAGTGTAAACTTCACGGGAGTGTGGAATATTCTCGGTAAGTGTTTCTCCGCCTTTTTTATATGAACTGGGATTATCTAACAAACTTTCTGTAGATTATCCGGTTTGCACATTTCCCGTAACCTTTACTGATAAGGATCTGGATCCAGCGAGAACATCATGGACACCTTTGAATGAGAAAGATGCCGCTTTGCAGGCTGATTATGATCCGGAGTTTTATCATGGTACGCCCGTAACTCTGCAGTGCGTCGGGAGACGTTTAGAAGACGAGAAGGTGTTACAGATGACTGGTATAATTGCAGATGCTCTTAAGCAGCATGTATAAAGTTGGATATTGTGATAGTATTTCAGCGTAGAGGTAAATAGGTAGACTAAATAAAAACTGATTTAGTTGGAGTACTTGCTCGGCTTTTGCAAAAGTCTGTTTCGACATTATCGAGGGGCCAGACTTGTCGATTTCTGCCAACATATTGAAAAAGATATGTCCTCTCATTTCTATATAAACCTACTACATGAGGTAATAAAATTCGGCCTCAAACTCCGGATCTCCTGACAGATGTGACACAACCAAGGCTTCCACATTTATCCCTCTAGTCTTCCCTTTCTTCTTTATGATCCTCAGTGAGGATGACCCAAGCTAGTACAGGTGCGGTTCATAATGATTAGATGAAAAACAGGACATCGAAAGCAGATAAAAGTTACCGGAAAGAGCGAGCGAAAGGGGGATTTGTTGACTTCTGAAGAACCAACTGAGTACAATCACTACAAGTCAATAAGTTATAATATACCACCTTGGAATACCCTCTCAATCAAAGCACCCGCGTATGATTACCAGCAACCATAACATCATAAATTCATGATTCCGTGGAAGTCTCTATCAATATACTCCAAGAAAGTGAATTAAAGAAGACGAGGCTATCTAAGGTATGTATCCCCTCGCCTCGCTTCACCGGTTGGTTGCCTCTGGTTACTGTTCTATAGCGCAAAAACATCGTCATCGATACCAAACCTCAACACCACAAATTCCATACCAAAAGAACGATAACCCAGCACACAAACCAATTGATACAAAATGCCAGTAACACGCCGCTCTCGCACCTCCAGCGGCCCCGCCGCGCGAGGCTCTCAGAAAACCCTCTCTTTCGGGCCTACGAAATCCTCGAAACCCACCTCCAAGAAGACCAACAAACTCCCCGCCTCTCCCCTGTCCAAGAACGTCGACATTAAAAACGAAGACCAAGATGAAGATATAGCTGGAGATGTAAGTGGCGATATAGATGTAGGACACGTCACATCCTCAGCAGCAATTGCTTCACAAACAAACGCGGAATCGCAGCGTGTGAAGAACAGAGGACCAAGCGCAGAGGAAGAAGAGGCGCGCAAGGTGAGCGATGCGCAGGTACGTCGGTATTGGAAGGAGAGGGAGGCGGAGCGGAGGGCGCCGAGGGTACATCAGGGGGAGTTGGGGGTTGAGGAGAAGGTCTTGAGGTTGTGGGATATGAGTAGTCAGTATGGTGTAAGTCTGCCTCTTTCCATCTCCATCTGTTCTTAGCAGCAGGCTAATGCGTTGTTTGTTTATTTTGTAGCCAGCTATAGGAATCGCACGTATGAAGCGCTGGGTGCGGGCGAATAAGTTGGGCTTGAATCCGCCGATTGAGGTTCTAGCTGTGTTGATCAAGGAGGGGGAGAGGGGGAATACGGGGGCTGAGAGGGCGTATGTGGATGAGTTGATGAGTAGCAAGTTTGTGGTTGGGGATGCGTGAGGAGTGAATGAATAGATGATGGGATGAGTTATGAGGGTTATTAAGCATGGTGGAGACAGCGGGAATTACATGTACGATATGCTGGATAGGATGGAGTTGCTCGGGGGTGAGTGGTTTGGTGGACTATGGCGTTTAGTTGACTTGGCTTCTACAACTCTACAACGACTGTAAACTACAGAGCTACAGATGTTGGTTACTTTGAGGGGGCGATTCGGCATAGCACTCATGGTGTGGTACACACAATGCAAATACATGTCATGAACATCGCAGATTCATTTCCCATTAAAACTCATATTTGCTAAAGCAATTCTTGTTCTACATGCAAAGAAGCAACCCCAAAATTTCGGCTAGAAAACAATCTACATTTGCACCTCAACACGACCTACGCTGCCTGGAGCAGCACCAGATGACAGGGTTGGCAAGAGGTAGGTAATATCATCCCAAGGATGTCTGTAAAGGCCAGTACGCAGTCTCTTTTGATCAAGGTAATGGGCAATCAAACCAATGCTGCGACCCAAGACGAACAGACCGTTCAATACACCCATTTGCATGTAGTCTTCAGCCTCCTCTGGCGTGAACGCGCCGCAGTTGCGCATCAGATCAACGAAGCAAACGGCCACGGCACCATCGACGTTCAAGATCAAGTTGTCCTTCTTCGAAGTGGTGACCGACTCGACAGCAAGAGCATAGTCGAGCATCTTGCAGCTAGGGAAACGCTTCTTGACAAACTCCTTCACAAGCTCGACACGAAGATCAGGGTTGTTGCGGGACTTAACCTTGTGGCCAATACCTGGGATGAGCTTGTTCTGCTTGCGCATGGTGTCGACGAAATCACGTGGGCTGAGACCCTTGTCGAAGGCCTTGGAGAACTCCTCAGCAGCACCATCAAGAGCACCGCCGAATCTTGATCCGATGGTTAAGAGACCACTGACAAGCGCACTGATCAAATCCTTTCCTGCTCTTGTAGTAATAATCGTGTTCATCGCACCGGAGACGGCTGGACCGTGATCGGCAGTCAACATGAGCACCATCTCAAGAAACTTGCTAGCATAGTCTGGGAGACGACGACGGAACCAGAGAAGCGACATAACACCTCCAATACCAATGTCCTCTCTGAAAACATCTGAAATTGGCATACCAGCGTACAACAGCTCCTGTCCACGGTCATCGGAGATGGTTGAGATGAAGGCGGCGGGTTTACGGATGAGTCCAAGTTCTTGAGCCCACGCGTAATCAATGGGGATCTTTGGTACAACGGGCTCTGGTTGTGGGACAATGGTACCATCTTTGACGAGCTTTTGGTAGACTTGGCTCACAAGCTGTGGTAGGTCCTCGAAAGTGTCTGGGACGAAGAACCCAGCCTCTTTCATGGACTTGTTCTTCACGGCGGCGGTCTCGAGCTGCGAGTTGGCGAATGAACCAGCATGTCCAAATTGAACTTCAGTCTTGAACATACTTGCACAAGTCCCAATTGCCCATGCAACGATCGGCTTTTTAATGATTCCTGCCTTTACAGCCTCAATGACTCGGTATTCCTCAACACCTCCAACCTCTCCCAAAAGGAGCAAGATTTTGCATTCGGGGTCGGCTTCATATCTCAGGAGATGGTCAATGAAAGTTGTGCCTGGGTATCTGTCACCACCAATGGCTACACCCTCATAGACACCATCCGTGGTGTTCGCAACAATGTTGTTCAACTCGTTGGACATACCACCGGACTTGGAGACATATCCTACTGATCCTTTGCGGTACAGCTTTGAGGCTACGATGTTGTCCATCATACCACCAGTGTTACCAATTTTGAAGGATCCAGGCTTAATTCCACCGACGGTGGCAGGGCCAATAATGGTGATGCCCTTCTTCTTGGCTACGTGGAGAATCTCACGGGCACGCTGTATTGGTGGTTAGAACCATAACTAGCTCAATCTTGATTTCTAGACTTACTCTTTCCGGCACACCCTCAGCAATAATGGCAATTGATTTGATTTGAGGATATTCCATAAGCTCCATAGTCGAGGTGTACACACTTCGAGATGATGCAAAATTCACCACTGTGTCTACATCACTGTGCTTTGCCATTGCCTTGTTCACATCTTGGTAGACTGGCAGCAGAGTCTCGCTGGTTCCCCAGTACATCTTGCTGACGAATTGACCGCCGAATGTGTATATGATGCCTGCAACTGAAGGCGTCTTGCGCTTACAGATGAAGTCGAAGTCAAGCATGCCCTGGACAGCTCGGGGCTGGAGACCGTAGACAAAACATCTCGTCTTATCGTGGAAGAGGGTGTGTTCAGCACGAGGGCTCAGAGGCCGGCTGGGTGCAGCGAAACGGCGGATGTTGTCGTTGGCCGAGTTGCCAGGAGCTGGGATTGTGCCATTTGTGGTGGTAGAAGGCATCGTGAAGATAATGAGAGGGAGATCTTGAAGAGAGATGAGCGTTAGCAAGGAAACTGGTTTGGAGATAGGTTTTGCAAGCCGCGGAGACAGGATTAGTGCACTCCGTAAGCTGGGTAGAGATTGTCGTACCTTTGCTTTTTTTCGCGTAACAGGACAATCGTTAAACAGGATGGAAATGCGATGCGAGGCAGTGCAGCTGAAGTGTGATGTGCCAGAAGAGAAGAGGACAATTGGGGACAGAGATAGAGTTATCCGGATGAATTGGAGAATAACAGAAGAGGTGTCGAAGGAGGAAGGACGGCTAGCTGATTGTTGAACAATTAAAGTCAATACCCCGGGCCGTCAACAAGTTTTGCCTGTGTACGGTAAGGTATGGTATGTTGAGCGCTCGGGGAGAAAAGCGGCGGTGACAGGCGATCCTTACTTTTAACCACCGCGGTACTTTTGTTATTTGCTGGGCGCAGAATTAGTTAAGCCCTAGCGCAGAAAGCCGAAGACCCCCAACAATTTTTGGGGTGGAGGTGCCAAGGTGGTGAGAAGCTTCGTTCGGTATCCGTACTTTTGTGGTAAAACAATATCGCATCGCGTCGTCAGCTTCTGCCCTTCATAATCACGAACAATCAATCCATCATCTCCCCTTCACATACCCGCATCAGTCCTCACTCGTCCGTCGCACTGCAAACATTTCCCCCATTCAATTCACCTGCTCTTCTTGATAAGGAAGGGTCCCTTTCTGGTATGTATGTTCCGCTTCCTGACTTGTGCTCCTGCCCTTCTAAGCAGCCGTTTCCCCATTGCACCACTGTCTGCACTGGTCAATTGTCTGGAAGCAAGCCTAGGAGTTTACCTGAGATCCCCCGTCTTCCAGATTACCAGAAGCCCCGTGGGCCGGAGAAGGATTGTCTGTGTGGGCCTTGCTCCTACAAGATACCAGCTCACTTGAACTGTTTCTGCAACCTTTCCAGTAGTCTTTTGTCGGCAGGAAACCAGTACTTGAGGCCCGGGACTGACTTGAGTAATCGAACAGTAAACTTACCTCAAATCCTTCACAATGGCCGCAAAATCAATCACCGAAGCCGACGGAAAGGCAATCATCAACTACCACCTCACAAGAGCGCCCGTCATCAAGCCCTCTCCTCTCCCAAAGTCCAGCACACATAACGCGCCTGCAAAGCTCGCCTCTCTCTACTTCCCCCAAGACGCCGAGGTCTCAGCAATTCTCGACCAAGCCGAAACTCTGTACCCATGGCTTCTCACTCCCGGTGCCAAGTTCGTTGCAAAGCCTGATCAACTGATCAAGCGACGAGGCAAAAGCGGTCTGCTTGCTTTGAACAAGACTTGGCCGGAAGCAAAGGCTTGGGTTGCTGCCCGTGCCGGAAAACCACAACAAGTAGAGACCGTCGTCGGTGTACTGCGTCAATTCTTGGTTGAGCCTTTCGTACCACATCCCGATGGAACCGAGTACTACATCAATATCAATTCTCAAAGAGAGGTACGTTCAAAACCAAAAGTCCAGTCGAATGATGGAAAGCATGGGTAAAACCTTGGGAGTTTTTGCATGCAAGAGAATACTGTTCAAAAATACCTTTCCCCAGCTGTAGCATCCAAGTGGATGAAAGGTCATGGGAATTGCGATTGGAAATAAAAATATGTCTTGTGCAAGTGGGCATCTACAACCTTTTATTGTTGCTCCGGTCGGATCCGCATCTTCGGTACAATTATTCTGCTGCGGGCGAACGGAAGCTAGGGAACGATTTAGTGCCCAGCCCACATCTCCATTCCATCAACCCGAAATCCAACTCATCAAATCTTGTACCTGCATTTGCCTATGCGCTATGGAGTCATTACGCCTCTTCTGTTTCTCTTCCTTGACTCAAGCCTTTGCTCAAGGCTGTTAGACGATTTTGTTGAAACCATGCACTGACCAACAATTTTCTTTAGGGTGACTGGATTCTGTTCACACACGAGGGAGGTGTTGATGTCGGTGATGTCGATGCCAAAGCTGAGAAGCTCCTGATCCCAGTTGATCTTTCCGAATACCCTTCAAACGACAAAATCGCAGCCACTCTCCTCAAGAAGGTTCCCAAAGGTGTACACAACGTCCTCGTTGACTTCATTACCAGACTCTACGCTGTTTACGTTGATTCCCAATTCACATATCTCGAGATTAACCCCTTGGTTGTCATCCCCAACGCTGATGCTACATCTGCTGCCGTCCACTTCTTGGATCTGGCTGCTAAGCTTGACCAAACTGCTGAGTTCGAGTGTGGTGTCAAATGGGCTGTCGCACGTTCGCCTGCCGCCCTTGGCCAGGCCGCTGTAAAGGCCGCTGATGGCAAGGTCAACATTGATGCTGGCCCACCTATGGAATTCCCAGCCCCATTCGGTCGTGAAATGAGCAAGGAGGAAGCGTACATTGCCGAGATGGACGCAAAGACTGGTGCATCACTCAAGCTGACGGTCCTCAACCCCAACGGAAGAGTTTGGACCCTTGTCGCTGGTGGTGGTGCCTCCGTTGTCTATGCAGACGCCATTGCCAGCAGTGGTTTCGCTGACGAGCTTGCCAACTACGGTGAATACTCTGGAGCTCCAACAGAGACCCAGACCTTCCACTACGCTCGCACCGTTATTGATCTTATGCTCCGCGCGCCGATCACCCCTGAGGGCAAGGTTCTATTCATCGGTGGTGGTATTGCCAACTTCACCAATGTCGCCTCAACTTTCAAGGGTGTCATCCGAGCTCTCAAGGAGTTCAGCAGCCAACTGATCGAGCACAAGGTCCAAATCTGGGTTAGACGTGCTGGACCCAACTACCAAGAAGGATTAAAGAACATCAAGTCGGTAGGTCAAGAATTGAACCTGGACATGCATGTGTACGGCCCAGAAATGCACGTCAGCGGTATCGTGCCTCTCGCACTCATTCCTGGTCGCTTGGCGCACAGCAAGGTGGAGGAGTTCAGAGGTTAAGCAGATGAGATAATGCATAAATTAGCATTCGAAGCTTCCTGGCATATGTGTTTGTAGAAATTTGTGGCGTCTAAATTCGTTCTTAAGATTTTAGCAAATAGAAAGTCATAATAGTCTTTGATGGACTCACATCGCTTGCAGTTGTGTAGTAGTAATCTCCGGGTTGAGCCTCTCGGCAGTGGATGTGCAAAGTAGAAAAGCGACTTTTTACTTTGGGCCAATGTGATGGATCCCGTACAGTACTTAATCACAGCTCACGTTGCAATAAGCATTAATTGTTTCACATTCTCAGACATTCAAACATTGCACTAAGACTAAGGTGGAGCTCCCCGCAAGCACCATCCCTGATTCGGAAACAGGCCCATCTTACTCCGTATTCATGTCGTGGAGCTACAATCAAGATTAGGAATCCCCGAGGATTCCCAAACCACCACAACTTCCACTTCCACTTCCTTCCCACTTTCCTTACAGTAATCATCACGACCTCTGTTCCGGCATGCAGAGAACCGATTACTCTCGTTAAGTCCAGACTAGACTTATTCTCTCGTTACCATAGTCTCTGTCTCTACGCTCGCTCGTCTTAATTAAATAACGATCCTACATCATCTCGGAGACGATCTGCAAAGCACGGATCGATTGGACAAAATGTTTAACAAGGTGGTACGTTTGGAAGTTTGGAACCCCGCGGTGTCGTCACATTGCAATAATCTTGGAGAGAAATATAAATACTCCTCGATGCTCTTCACGTTGTTTCTATTTCTGTTGACTTCTTACTGATACGATCCTTCTCGCCAGATCCAAGTCGCGCTCCTCGCGCTTTGCGCCAGCACCGCACTCGCAGTGCAAACTCTTGAAATCAAGGGCGCCGACTTCGTCAATTCAGTCACCGGCAATCGTTTCCAAATAGTTGGCGTCGCATATCAGCCTGGAGGACAATCTGGATATGACCCTTCTTCTGGCGTTGATCCACTCAGCAATGGGACCGTCTGTCTAAGGGATGCTGCTCTGATGCAGCAATTAGGTTCGTACTGAGGATGCGGCGCATACTGTGAACTGGGGCTGATAGTTTTAGGGGTCAATGCTATTCGGGTCTACAATGTATCCCCGGATCTCAACCACGACTTGTGTGCTTCCATCTTCAATGCGGTTTGTTGATCCCTAAAGCCTCCATGTTGGCTAGGTCTGACAATCAATAGGTCGGCATCTACATGCTACTCGATGTCAACTCTCCGTTGTCAGGGGAAAGTATTGACAGAAGCAACCCTAGTGGCAGCTACACTTCTTCTTACCTCAACCGTACATTCGCTGTGGTGGAAGCTTTCAAGAGCTATCCCAACACCCTGCTATTCTTCTCTGGTAATGAAGTCATCAATGATTTGCCAACAAGTGGACCAAATCCTCCATACATGAGAGTGAGTGCTGCGATGCTTGAATGGATCAAGCACAAAGTGCTGACATATCTAGGCCGTGACGCGAGATCTCAAAAACTACATTGCTAAGCACTCGACCCGAAGCATCCCTGTTGGATATTCCGCCGCCGATGTTCGTGAGATCTTACTTGATACTTGGAATTATCTTCAGTGTACCACGGGTAGCGATGCGTCAGATCCTTCTCGTGTTGATCTATTCGCCCTTAACAGCTACTCGTGGTGTGGTGACTCCTCATTTACAACATCAGGCTACGATGTTCTCGTGTCGGACTTCAGCAAAACAACCGTTCCGGTCTTCTTCTCAGAATACGGCTGCAACAAACCTTCCCCTCGTGTCTTTACAGAAGTCCCGGCTCTATATGGTCCTCTTGTAGCCCCTGTACTATCCGGAGGACTGGTCTACGAATTCTCCCAAGAGGATTCGAACTTTGGTCTCGTCACAATCAACGCAGATGGCTCAGCCAAACTCCTCTCGGATTATGACGCCTTGCAGAAGCAATACAACACCCTTAATGTAACCACTCTTCAAAGCGAGGCTGCGCAGAATACCACAGTATCACCGCCTCAGTGCTCCTCTTCGCTGATCACCAACAAAGGTTTCGCAACCAACTTCACGATCCCGTCCCTTCCTGATGGAGCAGAGGACCTAATCAACAATGGCATCAGTAATGCTCCTGTTGGAAAGATCGTTACTGTGTCTGATACCAAAGTTACCCCGCAGGTGCAGGGGAGCAACGGTCAAGCTATTTCAAACCTGGCAATCACGCCACTGAAAGACGATGAGAGCAACACCCCAAGCGGACAAACGCAAAGCGCATCGACCCCAACTAGCTCAACCACTAGCTCCGCCCCAGCTGCTACAACAAGCAAGAAGAGTGGTGCTTCGACTCTCCAGGCAAGCCTGGGCGCTCTTCTGGCTGTTGGTCTTCTGGCTGTTGTGTTGCTATGATTATACTTGAACACACTTCGCTTCTTGTGTATAAATGTTATTACGCCATCGACGAGCTATGTGTTTATGGAGGGAGTTCCCTGGAGTTTCACGAAAAGTAATTATGGAGCATTTATCGCCAATCTGCAATCACTGGTTGGTTGAAGAGGGGCCTGGGGCCTTTGAATACCATAGATTAGTTAAGCCAGAAATTTTTGAATTATAGTGTGCACTGACAACTTGACTCAGTGTTGTGAGCTCCCATTTGGTTCCCCGACTTTCTTCATAAACGAGCCCCTTTCCCTCTACCTAGTGTCTGTCTTGTTCTACCATTGACAGGAAAGCCCCGAAGGATGACCAGGTTCAACACGTTCCACATATTCCAAGTTGACAGCAAATGCCAGTAATAGCCCAGAAGGTATCCCTCCCTAATTATCGCGAAGTAAAATTCTCTCCCTCGGCTTGAGCACATCAAGACAACTAACTACACAACTCGTCTAATGGCAACCATCTACATACAATTCCCGCCAACATTGTTTCTTCAACTGTAATCTTTATTGTCTCTAGAATACCTATCTATCTATCTATCTATCTATCTCGTCCAAGCACCCTCTCATCTCAAACCCTGCTTTCTATATCCTGCTGTTGACAGCCAGGACACCTTCCCCTCTTCACAAGAACCCTCACTTCATCACCGCCCGGACACACCCTTCTGTATCTGTACTCGGCGCAATATAGGACTATCTCTGTTGCTTTGCTGTGGCCGCATGCGGGGTAGGATCGGTCCCAGAATATGCACATTGGGGCTAGAAGGGGAAGAGATGGTGTGTTTTGTTTCTAGGAATGGATGGGTTGGGTTTATATCTGGTTGTTTGTTTGTGGGTCGTGGAGGTGTAGGTGGAGGTGGAGGAGGTTATACTTGTTTATTTATTTATATTTTGGGCGGTTTGAAGGGTGGTGGGTGTTGTTGATGATTGATGTGGAAAAAGGGGCAGGGTTGTGATTGTATTGCTGTGAGAGTTTAGGGGGTGTGAATGAATGGGTTGCTTGAGATTCGAGGAATGAATGATCATTAAAACTACAGGGTGTATTGCTATATTAGTTTTAAAGACTGGCGTGAATCTTTCTTGGGTGAACTTGAGGCTGTGTTGATCTCTGTCTGATACAAAGATGGCAGCTATAAATTGTTATTGCCGTGATTCATTCCCCAAAGTGGATAATGCTGGTGATGTGTCAAATAAAAAGACACTTGCTGGGCGAACTTTACACTTCACGTAGCATTAATATTGAATCACTCGACTTAGGGGAAAGAGCATATTTATGGTTGTCAATTCCTTCTACGTTTCATGCCTCATAACCAGAACCCGCCATGCCTCTGAAGGTATCCAGCTGGTGTAATACCGCCCCCTAAAACTCCCTCTTAATCCCATTCTTATTTGCGCCCCATCAAAACAACACACATAATGCAAATCCCAATATACACAACGCCTCCCAAGTTGAGACACCGAATGAAAGAAAGCCAAAATGCATCAAAGCTTAGTGATAATGTCCCGTGGCGCAGAGTCGCTCAGTCTCCGCGAAAAGGGCAGGTCACTGCTCGATCCCCCACCATCAGGACTACCACTCGGTCCAGGCCCAGGCGAACCCCCAAAGCGCCTCTGGTTCTCTTGCATTCGGAACCTCATTAGCCAGCGAACATGCATGCAGGTAACTTGTTGCGTGCTCCTCAATTCTGAAAGTTCGTTCTTTATGGGTATAGTTTCGTTCAGGAGCATCATTGTGTTCTTCCCTTGAAAATCAGTCAACTCATTGGAGAGCTGGCTGAGACGGCTCTGCTGTGATTCCAGCAACGAGAGGAGGTACTCGTGCCCAGAATCTAGGGGCTCTGTATTTGCTGACTCGGGGAGGTTGGCGAGAGATAAATCCATCAGCTCCATAGGCCTGTCTGAAGCTCTCTGCGCACTCTCTAGAAACTTGATGCGGCGCTCCTGGAGATGGTTGGTCTCCGCCAGACTGCGCATATCTGACCGAAGAAGCTTGATTTCTTTCTTCAAGGTGTCTGCCATCGGACCTACTAACTTAAAACTGCATTCATCTGCGTGTAGATGTAGATCAGTTCTCTTTGCTTCGTGCTGGCAACCATATTCCGCCCAGTTGCAAGGTCGAATGACGTCTGGACACTCTTCATGGTGTTCGGACTCCTTGCACCGGAGAATGTTGACACCACAGTGCTCGCAAGCCTTCAACTTTTCGTTGCAAGAAGCTTCCCGGTGCTCTTCCATCTCTACAAGTAGAAGCGTCTCTTTACAGTCTGGACATTCCACAGGATAGTGCAGACAACCTCGACCAGACATCCGTCTCTTCACAACTTCTTTGCAATATTTCTCAGAGTAGATGCCAGGACACTTCACATTAGCCTCCGGGCAATATTTCTCCACATGATTTTCAAGCATCGACCGAGCGAATGAAGAGGCACAGCAGGGACACTTGGCTTTTAGAGAATCCAGTTGGTTGTGGACCATTTTGGGGGCTCGGCTAACCCCATCACTGTCCAACGGTGAGCGGTCGATTGGACATAGTTTAGTGTTGGACAAGGCGTCGGTGATACATGCGCGACAGAAGATGTGATCGCATTCGGTCAGAACAGGATCGACCAGCGGGCACCGACAGATAGGGCACACAAGATTCTCATCGACAGCTCCATCGTAGGTAATGGCTCTTAAGTCAACTGGGTGACGAATGTTGAGACTGGATGTTGACGGCGTCCGGAGATGTTTGTATAGACTTGACGATGAAAGACTTGAGCTACTGCCTGGTGTATACGGGGCACGGTCATCGTTGTCGACCTCAGTAGAGGGAGGTAGTGAGGGGTCTAAAGGGCGATGCCCTGCAGGAGGCATGTTGCTCATGTGTTCTGGAGAGGGCCCCTTTCCTTCCCTTCAAACACCGATTTGACTTCAGGCTGATGTATTGCTACTAAACTTAGCAAAGATGCAAGCTGGAATCGAGGATATGTTGACTAGTTACTTGTAGTCTCACACGTGAAGTGTTGTTCGGAGAAACGGAGGAAGGGCGTGTCTTGGTGAAAAGGTGAGAGGATAAAAGTCTATGAGAGGTCTCAGAATCACAGACTAGGAAGTCTTACAAAAAGGCCGCATGTTTTGTTACACAGGAAGGAAGTCTAAGTGAAAAAGAAGAGGCGCATTGTCAAGGTGATAGGTAATAATGGTACTGTAAGAAGAGAGGCAGCCGAGTCCACCTTTCATATATGGTCCGTATCGTTCTCCGTAGAGCCCAGCGCCTCCGTTGATTGGCCTATTCATGGTGAACCGTGAAGGCAGGGCAGTCAGGCCGCTGACGTTTGACCATCCGAAAGTTGACACTAAACGCTTATAGTTCCAGTCCAGGTTCATACTCTACCACTGCAAGAACTACATTTGTATACGGAGTTCAAACAATTACTACTGGTAACCAGCAAATCCTCCTCCTACCTTCTTCCGCCACTACGACGACCATTTCCCTCGGTTTCCTTTGCCTGGTCTGATCTTCGTAGCCTACTACTTACTTCCTATACACTCAGCCATGGCAAATCCCAATCAGTACTTCCTGTTGGCGGATCACATCAAGCTCTCCTTATTGGAAAGACAGCGGGCCATTTCATTAAACCTAGAACCGACATCTCAAGATGGCCATATATCCAGATCTCTAGATTCATTGCGGGAAGGATTGGAGAGCGTCACAAACGAACGGATACGATTAGAAGAAGCAGGAGAGACGTCGTAAGCAGCTTCGACTCCGGGTGTTGCTTGCGATCAAGGAAACTAATGAAGAATCCAGAGCATCTCTCACTATGCAAGAAACGGAACACAAACTACAAATACAGTATAATGATTTAGCATCCCAGTTCCGCGGCACTCCAACAGATACCACCGCCTCAACAATGTCCCAACCCAACAACCCCTCTCTTTCCAGCGACTTCACACGAGCCTCCGAACGACCTCGAATTACGTCCTCTTCCTCCTTTCTCAAGAAATCTCTCCGCGGTACAGATAGCGCAGCCGCAACCAACTCCCCCAAATCAGTCCGCTTCTCAGACGCACCAATCATCCAAGACGAAGACGAGGCTCGAAATGCCCTCTTCCCCTACCGGGACGATCCTACATCTGGACCTCCCGATCAATCACATCTCGATAACCAGCAAATCCATACCTATCACTCACAAGTCCTGGCTGATCAGGACGAGGCGCTGGATCGGTTAGGGGAGTCGATAGGGAGGCAGAGGGAGCTGAGTATTCAAATAGGAGATGAGTTGGACGAGCATGTGCAGATGCTGGATGAGGCGGATGGGCATGTGGAAAGACATACAACGACGTTGAATAAGGCGAGGAAAAACCTGGGGACTGTTGCGAGGAAAGCGAAAGATAATATGCAGTTGACGATTATTTTGATCTTGATCATCATCCTTGTTTTGCTTATCATCATACTTAAATAGTTTGAGCGCTAGACACTGTTATAATATTGCTGCATTACTGGTGTTTTGGGACACGGAGCTGGATTTGTAAATATTGATAACTATGATTATGGACGGGTCACAGATCTGCAGCTAGGAGCGATTCTGTGTATTTGATGTCATTTCATCCTGCTACTATACAGCTCTGCCTGCTCTCCCTGTCCGCTCTCCCAATCCTCAATCTCATAGCCCCGGATCTTGACTTGTACCGTGCCTATTTGTACAATCAGCACTACCAGAAGAAACTCAACACCAGGAACCCCACCTACTTATGCTTCTTCTCTGCATGGTCTGCAGTCTTCTTCTGCATCTCCTCAATGGAGCCATGTCCCTCATGACGGTCCGCAGTAATAGCTTCCTCGCTATCACTCGCAAGCTCTGGCTTCCAGTGCCCCTTCCCGTCCTTCTGCTTCTGCAACTGGTCTTGCTTGTGTTTCTCATTGGCTTCGGCGGCGTCTGGATTGTCTATATATCCCCTCTTGTACATCAGCCTCTCTCTTCTCCTGTCTGGCTATTTGCCTGCGCGTTCGTTCAATCCAATTGGGGAGATAGGTAGGTACTATGGGAAGAAGGGAGGGAGACATACGGCGGTCACTCTCCTTCAAGGCCTTCATACTCGAACTCGTGAATGCCCGCGAGGGACTGGTAAACACTGGCCGAGCGGCAGCGAACCTCGAAGTGCGGTAGATGAAGGACATGTTTCTTCTTACTTCTATGCATATCAGTTTTCTCCTCTTTCTTCTACCTCAATTGCGACTTACATGTGGAGATGTCAAAGGTAGGAGATATCAAGGGATTGAGAAGTGTAAAGTTGTAGAAGTAGTCAATTGAGGGGATATTCCGAAAGGACGATGACGATTGACCAACTACCGAGAACTTGAAATGCGCTTAATTGTCACTATTATTCATCTAAACTCTGTAGTCCAATATTTTGTTCAGGTACAGTGGGAGAGTACAAGAACCTCGGATATGCCTCGAGCGAACTCTCACATACGTCATCGAATAAGTGGAATGAGTACCGAGTAGTGGGAGTGGGAAACCGCGAATGAGGGGGCTTTGAAACAAATCATCCGTTTTCAGAGGGTACCTACCTACATACCTAATGCAGAGAGTCAGCTGCTGGGTACTTATCTATCGCCTCACTTGAGGGCATGTTGTTGTCACGATACTGTAGGGCCGAATCTCATGATGGTGGTGAGACACCAAAGTTGGGAGGTCACTTGCACAGAAAGGACTGCTCGAGATATTGTGGACTCTGACTCGAAGTTCAACATTGGGTATATGTGAATGAAGTACAGTAGAATTGACAGCTATTACCGTCCTGTATAATGAACAAGAAGATTCCCATTTAAATCCTTAAACCTATCCCAAATATATATGCCTCTTTGCCAAAAGGAAAGGGATGACCAAATATTGAAGCCCAATACCCCGCCCCAAGTCTTAAAGACATGTATCTCATAAATAAGCCCGTCCTAGATATGATCAAACGCAAATGCACCTATTGCCAAATCACCCCGCTGAAAGCACCTATGACCAACACCAAGGACAGAAGCGCTCATCATCATCATACAAAAGCGCGCAACATTTGTCCACACCAACACCAGGCCGCCTACCCAACTGTTCAATAACCAAGGGGAATCTTGCCAATCCTTGTAGATACCCGAATAAACACCTGCAGAGAGCCCTCTGCTGAAAAAGGAAATCATTCTATGTAACTTTGGTAGTATATCTTTTTTTTCGTAGACCATGTAAAGACGCCGTTTCGTGTACCACCTATAAGCAATACCAACCTAAACACCGTCGCCAATATATGCAATGCGCGCTCGAAATCAAACCATCATCAAGGGATGGAAACACTCGTACAAAGGTATCGATATTGTTGTGTCGCGCCGTTCGCAGGCTCAAAGAATTTAGGTGAAGGGCGATGTGTAGAATTTATACAAAGAATTCGATGAGGAGAAATGTGCCGTAACCAAGGAGTATCGATGCCGAGCAGGGGTGCCCGCCCAGGATGTGATTTGACGAGAATGCAGAGAACAATTAAGGGCAGATGAAAGGCAAGCACTACTGATCGATGAGATCAGGAGCGGGCAAGTCTACCAACGACGTCCCATTGTCTGGCTTTGCATCCTGGCGGGCGACACCGATTGAGGGGGACTCGACAAGTTTATGCCCCGAGTACTGGGGTTGACGATGGGGATAGCATTACGAACCCGTGTCGCTGATGGTTGATGCAGCTTGAGAGGTGTCGGTTGACTTTGATAAGAGGAAATGTATGGGTTCGAATTGGAGTTGAGAGAAAAGTGAGAGTCCGGCGTTACTTGGTGCGATTGCGGACTGGACTCAGGGGAACCGCTGGAAAGCGACGAACGATCGGACGAGGAGGAGATCGAAACCATGTCGGTCTCGGTGAGAAGATTCGGACAGAACTCCATATCGTCATCCAGATCAAAGGAGCGCATCGACTCAAAGCGCTGTCGGAAATTCGTCACCACAGCAGCCTCTTCTTCTTTCCTAACGTTGCGAAAGGGTTTGTGGGCAGCTAAGCGTGGTGCTCGGCGCCCACGGCCGCTGTGGTGGGACGAGGCCGACTGCGCATTCGCAGCATGTTGTTGATGGTTATAATGGTAGAAAGATGACATGGCTGCTCATGAATCTGGGTTTGTCGGTGAGGCAGGTGGCTGTTGTTGTGTTGGGTAATTGTGGGCCGAGTGAAAACAAAGGATCTCGAGGAAGGATCTTACGTGGCGATGCTACGAAGGTGAAGAGCTGAGACGATTATTGGACTGTATAAGATTGTATTATGTTGTGTTGTATGTTGGATGCGATGAAGAGAGGTGGGTGGGTGGGTGGTTGATGATAAGAAGAGCTTTAGGGAAGAACGAGGAGGGGGTTGGAAGGATGAGAGCGAGAGTGAGAGAACCTGGTGTGAAGCCATGGGGTGAGTGAAAGTAACGAGTTAGAGGCGAGTGGCGAAATGGCCTTTCCTAAAACAGTCTAGAGTCAGTTTAGATGAGCCAATTATAATCATTGTGGCTGTACTACTTGTCTACTTGCATTCCTGCCGATGGACTGCAAAGTCCCCAACGAGTTCCGCATTCGGTGCATCCAAGAGTTGAAGTGAAGTCGAAACTTTCCGATTCACTCCGCTGCCTCTATACTGGAGTTCATCTAAAGGGTTTTCTCTAGATCCTCTTATCTGCTCAGATATACTCCGTACAGTAGAGTAGGTAAACATGATGCAGCGTTCCGCTGGTCCCGGCCTGGTCTTGTTCGGGGGCGGTGAAGCGAGTCAGGGCTTCAATTGTTATTGTCGCTCTGAAAGCATACTTCGCACACAGTCTGAGGAGTACAATCGTCTACGTTCTTGTGGTACTGCAGCTGAGCCCCCTACAGTACTATACCTACGAGCCTACCTGGACTTCAAAATTGTATTTCCGTTCTATATCGGGGATTCTGGCCCTCCCTCTCGATGATATCTGGAACAAAGCAGCTGCAGCCAGGGTGATCGGCGGCTGTTTCGCTTGGTTGAGTTGAACAGAGATGCGATGCATCCCAATTATCGCGTTGCGTTACAGCAGCCGGCGCGGCGTCAGCACTCCAAGAGACTACCGCATGATGGCACTGTAAGCTTCCCCTTCTGTTCCCGCCCAACCGCCCTATCCTATCCCAAACACTACCCCACTTGCAGGCCGCGGCACGCTTGGTGCTCCTCCAGTCCACTTCTAGTCCAGTCCAGTCCAGCCCGCTCTGTTTCTTGCGCCAGCCACGCAAACCGCAATCATATTGTTGTATTATTGCCCTGCAGAGAGGATGGGACTGTAAGTGTTGCCAGCCTATCATCAACGGCAGGAGTATCTAAAAATTGCACATTGCATTGTTCCTGTCCAGTTGTTCATTTGAGCTGCATGCACCCCCCTTGAGTCTCAGTCCCCACAGGAGGACAACACAGCCTGTCGCGCGCGGACGTTCGGCCTGTCCGCTGTCTCCTTTGCCTGCAGACTGCAGGCCTCTGTTCCAGAAGACCATAAGCTGCACCTGCCACCACACCAGTTCCCCACGATGGTCTGTGTTTGACGTGCCACCACCTCACCGCCAGGTGTGACCCCGCTTTGCTACTGAAGATGCCTTTGGAGGTTCAACTGAACTTTCCAGATGAAAATGAGAGATCTATTGATACATATGCTTGGCGAATTTTCGCATTGCTGGCCTCAGTGGCCTGCCCTGCCACAATTTGGTATACAGCATCAAACATCGGTTTCTGGGGGCGGAGGATCCTGATCCATCTTACCGAATTCTTCCTCGATTCGGGCACGGAGCTCAAGGTGCTGACTGTCTGGGGTCGTCGGCTAGACTTGAAGCTTATGGCAACCTCACTGTACTACCTATTATGTTTGTAACATCGTTGAAGCAATCATTGAATTAAACTTTATCACTGCGTTTGGATTTCCCCTTAAGAGTCGCTCCCGAGCCTTTTATATGAGTAGCTTTTTGGTAGTGCCAACCCCTGGCTATATGACCAACTTACCTCCGTAGTGAAGCCCTGCTGAGGTACTTTGTTGTGTGTGTATACCAAGAGCGTTTCAATGTTTCTATCAAATATTTGCGGGTCCGCAATCTTCTTCGTGTTGCAGCCATGTATCTACTAGAGCTACTTCTTACCATAAGATTTTTCACCTCGAGGTGATATTGATAGGCGGGCATCGATGGAATACTCGTAGCGTGCTTCGACTTCTAGACGACAACCTCTATAAGGTATGTTTGCATCATGCTCCTAATAGAAAACCCAGATCAATAGATAAGTTCTACTATCGGGCGGTGCATTCCCTACTTATCAAAACGCTCCTTGCCTGCTACGGCAAGTCCAGTTCAAGATTCTTGTAACATCAAATAGTATAAACCCATATCTCTTGCAGAAAGATTATTGGTATATCATGATTAAGAGTTGAATATCAACCCGGGGGAACGCACTGGATCGAAACAAACAAGCGGCTACTATGACAGTGTCTACTCCTAGACGCCGAGTTTATAAATACTTCACCGTGGGAAGGTCAAAACACCCTTCGTGGACTTGACAACCTTCATATAAATCCAAATTCTTGCTTCATCAGATCCAAGATATCGTTGGCAAGGAAGAAGGTCCAATTGCAGAGTCGTTGGCTAAAGTGCAAAGACGGGTTTGGTTGAGATTCTATTGAAGCACGCAAGCAAATGGTTGTCAGGCTGTATTATTTCACCCCCTATCTCGAGACACGCATTCGCCGGTTAGAGGAGAGAGGAGAGACATGGTAGAAGGATTTGGCGAGGGAGGTGAGGAATGGAATACCTTGGGTGGCTAGAAAGGGGAGAATAGAGGGAAATATTGTTGGAAGAGTTGAGTAGAAGTGAATTTCCAGCCGTAGACGAAGGCAGTGCTAAGAAAGATTAATATGAACTGATTGCTATAGTTAGACCCTGAGAAATTTGTAATTTATTGCGTTTGTATTTGCTTAAACTCCTTTATTTTAAAATATGTAGCCTATATCTATCTATGAGGTTGCGGCGAACAACTCTACAAAAGTGACTCCTAGGAATATTAGATGTGGGAAGGATCTCGTATGGCTGTAGTTGTAATGGAATAGGCGCAGAGCGAAGATGAGTCCAATAGTAAATAACTAGGAAATCTGTATTGTCACGCTTTCGTCTCTTGCTTGTTGAAGATATACAAGCCAACTAACTTGCCGATATCATTTGCATCTATAATTGCTCTTCTATAATGCTTCCTCTTCAAGTTTTTTGCTGTCTGGATGCATGTGAGGGAGGGATGCAGATTTCACTTAAAAATGGTCAGGTAGGATGTCTAAATTATGTATATCTAATTGATTTCCAATTCATTTATCCAATCCTCGAGCTTTAACAAAGCGATTGATCTGCTCCCTTGTGAGCTTCTCGTTGTACTGCTCATACACTTCGTAGAATGAAATGAGTTCTTGAGTGCAATCAACAATAGCCTCAATATCGATGTTGCTTTCCGCAAGCCAGTTTGCCAACCTTTGTAGTTTTGTACGCGCTCCACCGCCTTGCTTTTCTGGAGCTCCGGCTTTGGGCTGGCTGAATGAGCTCAACGCAGCATGTGCCGCACTTGCGATATTACCGGCCGAGTTGTTTGCAGACTGAGCCCCAGTCTGGTTTGGCCGAGGCACCAAAGCAAGTAGAATCGCCATAATTGCAATAATGTGAGGCGCGTATAGGAGAGGCAGGTCGGTCATGCATTGGTCATTTATGATAGACCAAGCAAGAACAGACTCCTCTTGAGTAAGAGAGAATGTTCCTTGAAGTGCGGTTAAGCTCCTGTAGGGATGATGTACTATCATCTGGGAGCTCATTTCGGATATAAGGAAGAATTCGCATTCGCCCAGTTTCGAAGTATCGCTGCTGAAGAAGTCTAACAGCTAGAGTCAGCCTGGGTTGTAGGAGACTAGGGATAGGTAGTACCTGGCCATAATGTTCTGCCCTCGCTCACGACAAGCCTGATGTGATGAGGGCATTCTTCCATCTTGCATGCCAGGTATACTGCTGTTGCAATAACTAAGTATGGATTTGTCCGTCTGATCTCGACCTTTGAATAGAATCGGCGAATGTATAATTGTGCTGTTGCCATAGCTTGTTGTCGTACACCAAGACGCTTTGCGAGCCGACCAATTTCTGTAGCATAGAATGATTAGTCCCATCCATTCACAGGTGAAGCCTCCTATAGCACTTACGCTGGTTAAAATATATGCTGAGATGTCTCAACTGGGCAAGAGGGTACATCTGCACTAGATTCTGATCCTCATCTTCCAGTTTCTTCCGCAGAACATCTAGCTGCTCGCGGGTGGACTGCCAATGTCGCCGCTGCGTCGACTCCCAGTAATTGGCAGCCATGGTAGGATATACACTTGTCGATTAAGCCATATAAATTGGTGTTGAGGGGGTAGCACGGTTGACCGAGTGTCATCTAGAGTTTCGACGTGACGAAAGAGACATGAAGGTCGAGTTTTCCAGTTATTCGTATTGTAACATTGCAAAGAAACAGCGAAGGAAGGCAGGAATAGGAGCACAACTTGAGAAGATCAAGAGCAAAGTAAGAAGAGAGAAGCCATAATACTGTATATAATGATTTGCAATCACGGGGGCGTGAAAGGACAAGCAGGTGCTTGAGTTAATCCGAGCCGACTATCACCACAAAATTGGCTTCTGGAGGTCCTTATCAGTATACTACAGCGACCCCTATGATGCTAGAAACACGCTATAGTGACGATCTTGGCTCAGTCTCAGTGCTTGTTTTCTAGATCTACTCGGACGCAAGATTGCGGCTATACACAAACACAACGTATGCCCGCCCGCACCTATACATTCATGATACCCACTTCGCTTTCTCGGTCACTGTAGATTGCATCTGCTCTGTCAATTGGCTTTGGCCCTGGCCCTTCATGCGATGAGCTTCAGATGATAGGAAGTTGGAATAAAGGGTCAGCATGGAGATCCCGGAGTCTCAGGACTCTCGGGACGCGCGCATCCAGCAATTATGGCAGAAGTTAGATCCGCAGAAGAAAGGAGAACTGGACCTCACTGGCTTGAGAAAGGGGCTTTCTCGAATCGACCACCGTGAGCAAGCTAGCGACTTGAGTTTTCTCTTCAGTCTGGAAATGCTAACTAACCGGTCGGTATATAGCACTCAAAAACGCGGATGATATACTCAAGGATATCGTCAAGGCCATGGACAAGAATGGAGACCAGGTCATACAATACGAAGGTATGTTTGGAGCCTATTCTTTGCGCTTTTCGCTCTGTTCCTTCTTCCCCTCCTCAAAGTTGTCAATATGATAGGGCGTTACCAACAACGTTTGCTGGACTTTGGCTGACATGACTTCTGTATAGAATTCCGCACATTTGTCGTCAACACCGAGAGAGAGCTACTTTCCCTCTTCGAGTCCATCGACAAGGACCACAACGGGAAGATTGATAAGGACGAATTGAAGGCTGCGTTCAAGAAAGCGGGTTTGGTTGTGCCCAACTCCAAGCTGAACAAATTTTTCTCGGAGGTTGATCAGAACAAAGATGTTAGTTTATTCCTTGTGTCTTATATCAATCACTAATTTTACCTAGGGCTATATATCATTTTCGGAATGGAGGTAAACCAATTTTCCCCAGGTGGAGTCTGCGCTTTACCCTATTGGCACATATGATAGTACAAAGTTTCGCTCCAGTGGAGATATTAAGACAACTTCTCGAGAGGGCCGGGAAAAGTACCGCCGCACAGTATTGCTCACTCCGAGTGAGAGATTCTGGTCGTTTAAAACTTGGATCTCGGCGCCCCTCGAAAAGCTCTTAATTATAAGCTTGCGGCGTAACTCTAACTTGATCTGTGTGCTAATACACGCGGAACATGTGCTGCTGTTACCATTAATACCATTACTAGGCTTTCTCTTCTGTTCTTTTCTTTGGTCTTTCGGTTTCGAGTTAGGCTTGCCTGCGAACTCTAGAACTCGTCGCGCTGCCCTTATACCAAACTAAGGACGCCAAAGTGCGACTTGAAGTCATAATTAATTCACTGACTGACATTCTGATTTTGACAGGCACTTCCTGTTATTTCTTCCTACACACACCGAGACGCCTGAATTGAAGGCGGTCTTATCGTACTATTCGTCGACGATTACACTGAATTCTGAAGGCGACAGCAACGTCAGCGAAGAAACATTAGAGGGTCTAGGTAGAACACGATTTTCGTTTATAATTTCAGCCCTCATCGGGAGTCTTTTTGAAATCACAGCAACACTGCCCAGCAAGCGAAGTCGTCCCTCCCCATCCCCAGAAGACCTGGGCATCGCAACTGTTCAAGACGCAGCAACTGGCGCATCCATCGACGGAACCATGTTGGACCCAAATAGAGCTCGCCTTGCTGAAACAACTCTGAAGAGTGGACTGGAGGCTCTACCGCAGCCAAACGGAACACCGAGCACGAATTCAACTATCCAGCAGCAGGAGCTGTCCGGACTAGCTCAAGTCCTCATCGCCAGGAACAAGAAGTCCTTCCTGCAAGAAATCACGCCCGATCCCGGTTAATACAATTCTCTACTTTATATTTTCTTGGCACCAGACTTTGCATATGTATGGATCTCATACTAACATAATTGCTCTCCAGGATACTTCCTCGCAGGTGGGATCGCAGGCGCAATCTCTCGAACTTGCACAGCACCTCTCGACAGGTTAAAAGTATGCACATATGCGAGGCATTAGTACGTCACTGACTTGCCCTAGGTCTACCTAATCGCCAACATCAGTACTCCTGCGAAAGAAACTGTCGATGCAGTGAAGAAAGGCAATGCTGCAACTGCAGCGAAACATATTGGCAGACCTTTGGTTGATGCTACTAAGGAGCTATGGAAGGCCGGTGGGATGCGTAGTTTGTTCGCCGGTAAATAGACTCGAAGCAAGCTCTGAGTGCCCACTAATATACCTAGGAAATGGGTTGAATGTGGTCAAAGTTATGCCCGAGTCGGCGATTAAATTCGGCTCTTACGAAGCCACAAAGAGAGCTTTGGCACAACTCGAAGGTCACGGCGATCCAAAAAAGATAAACCCCTACTCTCAGTTTGTCGCGGGAGGAGTTGGTGGAATGGTGTCCCAGTGAGCAGCCATACCTCTAGTTCATATTTGCCATCATTGACTTTGAACGATAGGCTCTGTGTGTATCCGATAGACACTCTAAAGTTTCGGTAAGCACATCCCTTCATTTCTATCATCATGCGGACGCTTACCGACCACTAGAATGCAATGCGAAACTGTAAAAGGGGGTCTTCATGGCAATGCACTGATCATAGCGACGGCTAAAAAGATGTACAAGCAAGGCGGCATACGATCCGCCTACCGTGGCTTGACCATGGGTCTTGTTGGGATGTTCCCGTACTCTGCGATCGACCTAGGCACCTTTGAATATTTGAAATCGTCGATAGCAGCCCGAAAGTTACGCATGGGCTATAGCCAGACAGATTCTGCCCCAGGGTCATTTGCGACCGGCTGCATTGGCGCGCTCTCGGGATCACTTGGAGCAAGTGTTGTCTACCCAATAAATCTCCTACGGACGCGACTACAAGCTCAAGGAACCGTATTACATCCTCCGACCTACGAAGGAATCTGGGACGTCGCACAAAAGACCGTTAAGAACGAAGGTGTTCAAGGGTTGTTCAAGGGCATCACACCAAACCTGTTAAAAGTAGTGCCAGCAGTCAGCATTACTTACGTGGTCTATGAGAAATCGAAGCACATTTTACAACTCGAGGAGTGAAGATATCCGCTCGACGAGAAGGAAATGACAATCAGAAACACGCGCATTCTATTCCCAAGCCTCGAAATGGGAAATGGTACTTCCTGGCCTTCGGGTTCTATTGCTTCCGGTACATTATTTTGACCGTTCTAGCATAAGAAGGCTGTTGCATTGGCCCGGCGTTTACTAGCATTTTTGGAGGAATCATTGGCGTTTGCAGGATACCCGACGGCCCTATCATAGGCATACGGAAGATGCGAGAGGGCCTTGCAAAGGATGAATTATCATGCAGTAGTACCGAGAGGCTGAAGCACATTAATGACAGTACCATCGAAACCAATACAGATTTAAAGATGCGACCTAAGCATATTCGACTGGTAACATTATGTGATTTCTGGACAGCTTCCTATTGCCAGAGTTTAGGCTAAGATTTATTCAATTGATTTCCCGTCTTATGTAACCCATGGCACTCTTTCTTTACAGCTAAACTTGAGAATCTATCCTACATGAAGAACACATCATCAGATTATATAGAATTAAGGGCTGCTACAAGATGTACATAATCGTAGCTCCAGCCTCATGAACAGTGACTACCTCTTCCTGATAAAAGCTGACTTGGTAATGACAGCCCAGCGGTATACAGTTTCTTGTATCTTACCTCCCACTTCACCATATTCTCGATTTTGTGCGGGCCGATGTTCAGCGTAGGAAGTGCCAGGACTATTGCCTCGCCATCATCTCCTGGACCGAAAATTGCAGGGAGAGTGTACCTTGAATCCACAGGCGCAATATGCTTCAGCAGCTTGTGCAAGGGGTTCCACATTTTCATAGGAAGCGACTGCTTGAACATGTTGTGATCCTCTTTGCGATAGGGACGGATGAAGAGAGGCACCTTGCAGTGATTCTGTATACGAATCCAGTATCGTCCATCATAGAGTGTCCATTCTGACCAAGAAGATTCTTTGCGGTGGGGAAAGCTGATGACTGGCATGGATGTGCTAGTACTGTGAGGCTGTCGCGAGATGAACCATTCACACTTTGCGCCATCGGTAAGACGCTCGAATTGAACCCCTGCTACGGTGAACTTGGGTGGTTCAAAATGCAGCTCTTCAGAAAGCCAGAGTTCGGGAAATACCCGCTTCAGGGTACGGTACACGACGGACGTCTGGACATGTTCCTGGGGCGTGACTAGCATGATGATCCGCCTCAAGACATTCGCTGCCACCAGCTTCTTGTCAGTTAGAACGGGTATGGTAGAATCGTTCATATCGTTGAACTGCACGGTCAGAACACCGCTGCGGGTGTCGAACCGTTTGATGCTGCACTGCGAAAGACACCACTCCGTCATCTCAAGCTGTGTATTGGCCAATTCCCGGCATCTGCTCGACAGCTTGACAAGGGCAGACTTTGTCAGGGCAGCAGGCATAGTATGCGACTTGTAAAGATGCCTGATTGCATTCCTTGACGTGAGCGTGGGATCCATGTTTGTATGGTCTTCGAACCACTCTATTCCCCCAGCCTGACAAGTAGCGATCAAACGCTCTTTCCCAAAATCTAGAAAGGGTCTATAGATTTTAATACCACCAGTTTCGGGGATAGGCTGAGGTATTAGCTTCACGTTTGGCAATGGTTGGTGTGATTTGTATTGCACGGGCGCCTTTCTTCCCCTCCAAGACTTAGGGGCTATTCCACCACTCTCGTGAACGCCATGTATACCATGACATTCCGGGATTTCGGAATCAGATTTCATTCCCAAAAGTCCAGGTCTCTTATGGCCACTGGTCAATCTCATCATCACAGTCTCTGCCTGATCATCTCCATGGTGGGCAAAGAACAGCGAGTTGATTCCATGATCTCGACACGCTCTGCCTAAGACTTGGTAACGGTATTTCCTGGCCAAAGACTCAAAATTAGGCATTTCCGCAGGCTTGTCAGAAGTGGGCCACTTCATTTTCAAGATGCTGGTTTTGAGACCTAGGAAGAAGCATTAGTCTCTCTTCCTTCATAAATCAAATCTCATCAATACCTTGTTCCTCCAGGACCTTGGCGACAGCTTGAGCCTCAGCTGCACTGCCGGCTCTAACTCCATGATCTACTACGAATGCTCTAAAGGTTACTTGGCGTAGAATATCTAGCGAAGAGACATGCTTCTCGTTCTCGAGGTTTAGAGAGTTTGTGGTGTTAGAAAAGCTAGAATGCATCTGAGAGCAAAGAGTAGCCAATGCCATGGAATCAACCCCACCGCTGATGGCAAGACCTGATAGCACCAGGTCAGTTCTGAAATGTAGATTTCTTGACTTCTATCATGGAAGATACGTACCGAAAGTCGCCGACTGGTTGGCACTGTAGCTTTCGGACGGCCTCCATATTTTGGATACAGCAGTCACAAATTCCGCAATAGAAATTGGACGAGATGGGGATGCAAAAGTATTCAGAATACGATTAGGGGTACCCATTCCATTCTTGAATCGAGACTAAGCTTTAAATTGAGAAATGGTGATGGTGATGGTTGTGTACTGTAAATATTGAGACGCGTCCCACCAGTCCAGTCCCCAGAATAAAATATTTATGGAGACAAACGGGTTCTGCCTTTTCAGTACCTCATACAACCAACCATGACTTTCCACAGCTCACACCGGCCTCGGCCGCTGACTCTACCTTGATCAAAAAGGGACATCGAATACCAATTACTCTTCATAACCTGCCATTCAAGGCATACATACACGCATAATGTCCTCCCAATCCAGTCCCGCCTTCACCACCGCCCTCCTATCCGGAGCCCTCGCAGGAACCACCGTCGACCTCTCCCTCTACCCTCTCGATACTCTCAAAACGCGCCTCCAATCCTCCTCCGGCTTCCTCGCCTCAGGCGGATTCTCAGGGATCTACCGTGGCGTCGGCAGTGCCATAATCGGGTCTGCGCCCGGCGCGGCGCTCTTCTTCTGCACCTACGAATACTCCAAGAGCTTCCTGGCAGCGCGGCGGCAGGCAAACCAGATTACCGATGGAGGGTTTATGAGGGAATGGGAGGCTCCTCTTGAGCATATGCTTGCCGCGAGCTTGGGCGAGGTGGCTGCGTGCGCCGTGAGGGTTCCGACGGAAGTGGTGAAGCAGAGGGCGCAGGCGAATCAGCATGCTTCCTCACTGTTGGCTTTGAGGGCCATACTATCACAGCATAGGGGAATTGGTGTCTCGGGGGTATGGATGGAAATGTATAGGGGGTGGTCTGTTACAATTATGAGGGAGGTGCCGTTCACGGTGATACAGTTTCCGTTGTGGGAGTCCATGAAGGAGTATAGGCGGCGGAAATCAGGCAAAGATGAGATTGGTGCTTTGGAGAGTGGGCTTTTTGGTAGCGTTGCCGGAGCCATTGCGGCTGGGTTTACGACTCCGCTGGATGTTCTCAAGACGAGAATGATGTTGGCTAAGGAGAAGACTGCTGTAATCCCTTTGCTGAGGGAGATATTGAGGACCAGTGGACCAGGAGCCCTTTTTTCGGGAATCTTGCCCCGGATTCTGTGGATTAGTGCTGGGGGAGCCATATTTTTGGGGTCTTACCAGGCAGTATCAAACGCACTCACAGAAAGACGTTCCAACATTGATAAGAGTAACGAGAATCGCTTTTAACGGTAGTCACAGGGTCTCCAATCCGACTCCCAATCTGTATATTACTCGATGACATAGGTGGATCTTGCGTTGTCGAGCATAACTTGTAAATTACTTGACTAAACATAGTTTCCAATAAGTAATAATAGCTCAGACTATCAGTTCCTTGGTCTGGTACTTGGTGAAATCCAGAAGTGTCCGTCAGCGTAATCCACAGCACTTGGAACAATACGTCAAATCAAGACTAGTATTTATAGAACTTTTGATTTCAAAAAAGTATTATAATTCGAAGCTATGTAACAAGGTATATTTACCCAGATGTCGACCCGAAGCCAAACCATCGTAATATAAAGTAATGTTCATGGTGGTGCAGCCTGTGCGTCTGGAGGACTTTCTGTGGAAGGCTCCGGGGGCGTCACTTGAGAAATTTGCTTCCTACCATTGCTTTTGTAGTACAGCATTACATCCGCACCTCCCTTCCAGACGTGGGCACGCAGAGTTGCAAGACTCATGGTGATTGGCAATTTCTATCTTGATATTAGAGTGTGGAAAAGATTCAAAGAGGAAGAGCTAACCTGGTCATAACAATAAAGCTCTAGATATTCCTCTGGCTTCAAGGCATCGGGATCTGGTGTCTCTGGGGCTGCTTCAATGCGTTCTGCAACGTATGCAAGAATCTTCTTGACCCGGAGCATTCTGTTCGCATTCAAGCGGGCGTTCCCATCTGGTCCAGCAATACTGGGCAGCAGGTCTTGCCAAGGCTGAAGGATAAACGAAACCTTCACCGGTTCCTTAAACGGGATTTTGTTCTATGGTTGTGTTATTTCATTGCCTTCAGCCATTCATGAATGCAGTCTTACCCTTAAAAGTAGATCTCCAACCCACATAGGCGCTCGCTGCTCTATCAGACTTGCATCTTCACCAACCGTTGCAACGGTCCCTCTGTACAAGTCCGCACTGCCACCAGAGGTCTCCTCTTGAACGATGACCGTAGTCATAGGCGGGTGTTTTAGTACAGGCGTCTCGTTTGGCAGGCTAGGCGTGATACCGCTCTCAACCAACCGGTCTGGATTCTCCAATAAGGCCTTGTCGTATTCGTTTCTAATCGTCTGGACTACACCAAAGAAACTATCATCGACTTCTTTCTCCTTTTCGCCATTTTCGGATAAGTCCGAGCCATCTTCCACCTTCTCATCTACTACTACAGGCTTCTCTATATTTGTGGATGGTGACCGTCCAAGCTTCTTGCTGCCAAAAGACATCCCCATGCGAAATTTCTTCCCGAAGAGAGTGTTGGTGTCCTTACCACCATTGTTCTCTTTGTCGACATCAGAGGGCGATTTAGGTGGTTTCTCATCTTGTCCTTCACCCGGTGTAGCTGCTGACTTTGCAGCCGTCTCGGACGCAATCAGTGTACTTGAGAAATAATCGCCATCCTTGTCACCAGAGACACGGCTTGCGTGAGAAGCTCGTTTATCAAGGGGAGCACCATCCTCAGGAACGCCAGGCAAATGATTCATAGCTGAGGGTGTTGCAACACCAATCCCCATACCCGGGGTCATAGGATAGGAATTGCCATTTGCTCGAGGTGTCAGTGTAGGCGGCGTGCCTTCCACCCAAGCTTCTTGGGTGGACGGAGGTAGTTGAATGGATGTTGGTGCATTTGCACGTTGAACACCTTTCTTTACGTTCTCGTTAAGCTCCTTACGATAATCCTCGTCTCTTTTGATTGCTTCATCAATGAGATTTGCGAATATGTATCTTAGGACCCATTTCCCAAGGTTGACTATGCAATGGTTAGCGAGTGCCCCTTGTTCAAATCAAGCTACATTTCTAAACATTCTCGGCGTCTTTGACCTACTTCTTTGGTCGTCTCGAAATTCAACCGGCTCTTCCAGCTCGAGCTCATCAGCGTACATTTCCGCATCGAAGCAGTTGTATTCCTCCAAGACCACAGCCAGACGGCCCGTTCGAGTATCTATTGAGCACCAAGGCGCAACTGCTTCCATAGTGTTTACCTCAGGCTCCACATCTTCGAGATGTCTTTTTCCAAAAGACTGAATAGGAATGCACTTCTTCGCATTAGCATCAGGTCTGAAATTTTTCCAAACTATGACCTACTCGTAACAAATCCCATAACAGCACATCTCCAGCGGTATCCAATGTCAAGGCCCTCCGCCTATCATTAAGTAACTTATGTTTGACCAAGCCATGTTGACCTTCGATTGTCTCTTCAGGCAGAGAAAGAATTGGCACAACAAATCCTATATCTGGGTCAACAATTATCTCGGACCCTTTCCGAGCTGCGCTCAGCGCGGAAATTGTGGTCGCCGTATCCGGATCCCTTGCTGCAGCTGAAGGAAAACTTGCAGTATGTGAAATCTTCAAGACTGACTGCGCTGGTATCTCCTTTTTTGGATGGCCATTAGTTGTAGGTGGTGAGAGCTGCTTTGGACGTGACGCTACACTTGAGGCACGCTGGCGCCTGTAAGCTTCTGGTAACTGAATATCCGCGCCCGTATCCACGTTTGACCATCGATTTATGGAAGAGCTAGAAGTTGCAGTCCATATATAGTCCCCGTGAGCAATTACTTTGTTGACACCATCGTGCTCTTGAGCAACAGCCAAAGAAAGACCGTCATCCATCTCACCGAGCGTCCCACGAACATCAGTCTTCACAACAAGCCCTGACCTGTCGCCACTATAAAAAATACCAAGCTGTGGGTCATCTGAATAGAGAGACCAAACACTATCATTATGCATTGTCAGAGTATGCATGCACCGACCAGCGGTAACGCTCCAGACTTTCACTGTCTGGTCTGAGCTGGCAGTCATGATTGTGTCGCCAGTTTCATTGATTAGAATATCCCTGATGTTGTCCGTATGGCCGACGAATTTGGTGACCCTCTTCCCGGACCTTGGATCCCATAATCGTACAATAGATTCAGGGCCCCCACTTGCAAGTATGCTTCGGCTAGCACTCAACGCGTAGACAGAGCCCTTCTCACTCTTCTCCTCATCTCCAACCTCTATCTCGAGTTTCTTCCCTGCTCCACTAAGATCCCAGAGGCATATTTTGCGATCGAGTCCGCCAGATGCGACCCAGTCTGCCTGGGAATTGGGTGTCGCCAGACACTTCACGTAGTCCGCATGCTGCCCAATAGTTTGTGGTGCCTCCAAGTCGTCCGAAAAGGGATGCCAGACTTTCACAGTCAAGTCCGACGACGCCGATACCAAAGCCGTATTGTTTTGCGCAAGCACTATGTCATTCACCCAGTGTGTATGCGCCTGTGTTTGGGCGCGAAAGGTCGTAGATGCCTTGGAGTTTGACGTCGGCTCTGGCGGATCTTCCGCGGACTCAAATGGATTCTCCGCATCAGGCGAGCTCTCGAGGTTGAGGTTGAGGTTGAGGTTCCATGCGCATATTGCTCCATCCCGGCCACCAGAATAGCTGCAAATTGGTCAGCTTCGGAGGCCTTTAAGCTATAAATGATGATCGAGCATCATCGAAGTCCACTTACAGAATGGACTGGTGACTGTCTACGGCAAGGCCGTTGACCCCAAGACGATGCCCGCCAGGCGAGTTGGCGAGGGGAAGCACATAGGAGACCCTCTGTTTTGCCTTCTTGACCATGGCGACGACGACTTATCGCCGAGATAGAGCAAGTATGCACATGCACATCAGTTTGGCTGCAAGCATATGGTTGTCGCACGACCAATGCCTGTATGTACACAAATACGTATGTGATAGTAAGACCGGCGCGACTTGGAAATACGTTGGGGAGTCGAGTTAAGCAAGGTAGGTACTGTGGTGTGGGGTGTGGTTCCATGTTCAAAGGAAGGTAGGTAAGTCGTGCCGCATTGCATCAGGCGGGACACCAACATGCGAGTGGCAGGTCGAGCCGAGGTTGACATCGCATGGGTACTCATGCTGGGGCCGGATCTTGCTTGGTAGGTACTTCACTGTATGGTTTCTTATATACGAAAAGTCAGCTATAAAAGGTTACCACGTTGCGATCATACTTCAAGTAATTGCATTACTACTATTAAGCCTCCGTCTCTATTGTATTTCTCCCCGTGTGACGCCCTGCCAGACCAGGTAACCTACCATGACTCCTGAAGTATATAAACAGATTGGGTATCTTTCGCTGCCATTCCGAACGCCTAGTATTGAAACATTTTATAAGCCTTTGCCATTCCATTCAAAGTCCCCAAGAAACCCCCTGTTGATCAACACCGCGGCAATAATTCTGCGCTGTTGTAGCATGTCACACTCATCGTAACATGACGTGTCTAAGCCGAGAGCAACACAGAACGCATTCGTACAGACAAAAACCCCACAGTCATAACCGTTGCTCTGGTGTGCGCATGCCGTCCTTGGCGTGTTCCACTCAGCTTCAACATATTTCTCCCCAAGCTGAAATTTGAGCCACTCTCGCATGAGCTTGATGAACGAGTGTGGACTTCCGCCCATACTGTCAAGATACTCAATCGTCTTCGCAATTGGGCGTACAACTCCGACCGTCCAATGAGAACCCTTGCATATTGGAACGAAAACGGAGTCAACCTCCAGCAAGGACGTGCCCGGGGCTTTCTTTCGTCTCATGAGACCCTGAGTGCTGCTGGGCCCTTTCTTGATGAGGTTTTCATAAAAAAAGCTGTTGTGTGCGATGAATTTCGGAACCGTGCTTGTAGGCTCCTCGAACTCCTTCGCCTGGGCAATGGCTGCCCTATTTGCCGCATCTACCACCCATTCAATATACGTGTTTATGATCTCATCATTCAGCCAGGCACGCTTGCCCAGTAATGTTGCGAAATCCTTCAGTCTCAACTCAGTCCCACCAATGGATGTTGTAATAATGCGTTGCGGGTCAGTTGAAAATATGGTTTGATTGACCACGTCGTCCCACTCAAACTCCAGAGGTTGTACCAAGGCTTTTCTTGGCTGGCGACGATGTAAACGAAGCTCTCTAGCAGCACGGAGCACTTCTTTCCTTTCCCTGACCTTTCGCTCCTTAGCCATGTTCAGCCGCTTCTCGCGCACAAGCCCTGAAGGAACCAACAAGTTGCCCTCTTTTTGATCTCCATCTAAGTCAAGCAACCTGCTCAGGCGCTCTGTCAATTCCGCTGACTCGTTCATGTCATTTGGCGTGAGAGAATCGTCCCTTGGTAAAGAATCAGGTGTCGTTGGCATTCGATAAACTGTCGGTTTCCGAACAGCGACTGCAGATTGTTCAGACTGAGGCGATGATGATCGCTCTGGAGTCAAGAGCGAGTCCGTGGCGTTATCTTGCCTTTGATATGTAGGCTTGCGATCGCCGTCGCGCTTCTTTGCTGATTTGCGAGCGCTCCGTGAGCTGGTCGTGTTGTGATCTCCAGAAGCGCCAAAATCGGGGGGCTCCCAAAAGTCATTGATTCTTTGGGTAGCCTCACCCTCGCTGTTGCACCCGGAAATATCCAGGGTCCCACATCCATTATTTCTAAGTATAGCATCAGTCGACTTGGACCGCGGTCCCCTCTCCTCTCGTCGATGCCTGTGTTTTGAACGTTTAAGGGCAGTCGATCCATCGGGTCTTGGCCTTGCCGCTTGTGTGAGGGTATTCGCGACAACTACTACTGCATAAGCACAAGAAGGCCGTCGGCTTTGAGAACTTACCGTCTTCCGATGTTTGTGTCATATCGGTATATGTAGTTATAGGATAAAACTCGGAGCACCACCTCATAACGCCGGTGACGGCCTGGGCCATCGTGCTGAATATTGCGCCCATGACAGGCTGGGGCGGTGGAAAAGCAGGTGGAGGTAAACGTGGAAGTAGAGGCTAATCTAAAAGTCAGTCTGCCATTACTTGCAAGTGCCTCAAACGCGATGCAATGCGACGGCGATGAATTACCTTGTGGACAACAGAGTAGCACGGGATGAGTTGCTCAGTTGCTTTTCGTTTGAGCCTACTCATTTCGAGATATGGGTGGAGCGATTGAAGGTTCGGGTTGATTCGGGCATTGGTGCTTGGGAAGTGTCTGGAATGTATCGAGGGTGAATTTGCTGGTTGCGAAAGGGAAGAATGCATGTCTCAAGACCGACACGACGAACGGAGGCTGAGATATTTGGTTTGGAAGGGGCCGGGAAACCCTTATTCCAATCGAGCCTAGTGGTATCCCTGCCTCGCCCCCCGCCTTTTCTGCATGTTGATGCATTATGCTTGTCCGTACATCCTGTATTCACTTACTATACTCCGTACTCACTTAATCATTCACTTAATCACTCACTACTGCTCAATCACTCCATAATCTGCAAGTCATACCTCACTATCATTTCAGTTTTGAGATATAATACGTTCATGTCTATATGCCACCACAAAGCTCAAATCAACGCCTACTTATAAATGTGCCGTACTCTCACCTAGCTTCTTCGTGCAAAATGATCCAAAATACTCATTCAATGCGTTCACTGGCCCACTCCCTTCAACCAAACTTGTGACAATGCCAACATATCCGTCCGGTCTCACAACGATAACACCACCTGTTTCCTCATTTAGACCCATCTTCACGTGCGCTGCGGCCGTAGCATCAGGCACTCTCTGATCCCAGATATCGTCCGCGTAGATGTGGTCCCTATACCTAGCCAAGATAGGAGGCACATCTCTTGAAATCTCAATATCGCTCCTTTTAGAATTGAAAATTGTGCAGAACGTGAAGAAATAGCTGTGGGGATTGTGACGCTCATGATGAGACACGGAGTCAATGTCAGGACGTAAATACGAGCTGAAGAATGATGACTTCTTCTTGAGATTTTCCACAAAGTCTTGAAGTGCCTTCCCAGATGATAAGGGCCTTCCTGCAAATATGTATATCCGGAAAGAGCCATTGACGGGGATTTCTTGTTCCAAGTGCACAACGTTGGCATCAACAACGCGGGTAACATTGGAGTTTATGAGAATGCGCCCTGTGCGGAGTTTGTGACCCCTGGGGTTGATGAGGTTCGACTGTGCGGGATGAGAAGGGGACCAGTTCAGAAGGTTTGGGTCGTATGCTACGCCATAGCCGCTAGTAAACTCGCAAGACTCTTTGAAAGTCTTGATGAACTGGTTTTCTTCTCCTCCATTGTCTTCGGTCTTATCACTCTGCTGAGATGCTGCTGCAACATCCTTTGCGGCTGGGGCTCGTTGCGAGAACAGGGCCGCATACTTGGCATCAAAATTTAGCAGATTCTCGGCAATGAGTTTTCTTTCGGATTCGTAGGATTCAAGAAGAGATCTATCAGCAAAGCCTGCTTGGACATGATGGATTTTCCAAGCAAGATTCAGTGCATCCAAGAAGGCGGTATTCATGCCCTGACCAGCTTTTGGCTGCAACTATTAGCATGATCTCATCTGCTCTGGGACAGCTACTTACGCTGTGTGTATGGCAAGCATCTCCTCCCATAAAAACGCGATGGTCAAGTGTGTATTTTTCGGCGATTCCCTGTCCTATGGGGTACACAGAAAACCATTCAACTCGTTCCCACTCAATGCTGTATGGCTCAAGGATTCGTTTGGCAGAGTTCTGCACCTCTTGTTCGGTTTTAGTCTGCCGTGGATCCCAGTTTTTGTCTGTTGACGAGGCGATCTGAATATAGAGACGAACCATATCGTTCTCTCGTGGAATAACCATGATTGAGCCGTGCTTTGAATGAATCGTACATTTCATCTGCAAAATGATATTGGTTAGGCTTACTTGCTGTGCAAAGATTCAGGCAGTACCTACTTTGATATCTGGAAAATCCGTCTTGACGACGCCATCCATCACACCCCAGACATGCGCGATTGGATCCTTATGCTTGATTCCGATCTTCAATTGGTCGCGCACGAATGATCGTGCACCTTCGCCACTGAACAGGTATCGCGCTCTCACGGTTTCCTTCCCTTTCCCGTCAACGTGCTCCAAATCTACCTCCACTGGAAACTCGGGATCTGCATTCCCGTCGGTCTTGAAGCCTTTGATCGTCCATGGTCTTTGGACACTGACGCCATTCTTCTCCAGGTCTGATATGAATACACGCTCAATCAATCCTTGGTGTAAAAGGGTTGTGAAAGGATATCTAGCATCAATGAAGCTCGGGCAACTAGCCCATGTCCCTGTTCTGTGGATTCCTGATTCCGTCGAGCTTGGGTCCCAAAAGGCAACCTCGTAGACTTTTGCTGGCTCGTGGGCCATTATAGCTGGTTTTAGACCCATATTCCGCAGAAGATCTAAAGATCGCGGCTGGATTCCATCCGCACGGCCAGTTTTTGTGGGCTCAGGGCGATTGTCGATATGCTTGATTTTGTAGCCCCATCGTGCCAGACAAGTCGAGAGCAGTAACCCGACTGGACCAGCACCGATGATTACAACGTCGTATTTGTTAGAGACGTCGTTATGGACTGTCTCGTTAGGGGTTACGTTCGGATCCATGATGGTCAAACCTACAACACTAGGTGGGGGTTTGCAAAGAAAAAATGGATTTGCCAAAGTTAACAAATGTGAAAGAACTATGGTATCTATCGAACAAGAGTAGAGCAATAATAAGGAGAAAATGAGAAATTATACCGGGCTGTAGGGACTTAAGAGCAAAAGGTTGACATAATGAAGGAAGGCTAGCTGACCCACGACGACGACGGCATTTTACTCCGGGTCAAACTTTATCCTAAGTTATTGGGCTCTCCCGTGTGTATGTGGATAAATGGCAGTGCTGTGCACACACTTGTAGGGTCAGAGTAGTCCAAAATCATCTCGTTTGAAGAACGGATGAGCTTTACGGGAGTCGTCGAGACGGTCAAGTGCGTCTGGCGTTGACATATTTGCGGGGAAAGTTCCACATTCGAAGACCCGGCTAAGAAATGCGGTAGCTATGAAGATCATACCCTGCGCATTTTGTGGAGCAGGGGCGGGGAAGACTAACCCAATTCGTAATTCACAACTTTCACTTTGCAATTGACGACGACAAGGCAAGGACAAGTCAACTGCCATGAAAACCATCCGCATTTTTGCAGAATCACACTTTCTAGGCGTCAATACAAGTATGGCCACCCTTTGTTTTCCTTCTCATACATACATAGAGTACGTACCTACGAACTGTACTTCGAGGTACCGGCCCCTCTGATTGATTTGGAGTTTGATACATTCCTCTGCCTTATTCTAGTGAAAAAAAAAAAATATATATATATATAAAGTCTGATACATGATATCTCCTGTGAAAACTTCTTCCACAGATATAGGTTACTTATTCAGCGGCAGTCTGTACCTCTATTTTATGTTTTTCTTTGGGGCTGTTCTTGACATTGTGCTATTCACAAGTCTTTGACCCCTTAGTGTAGTCACTGTAGTGTAATCCGCGCTCGTACATAGATTAGGCATAGGCGCAGCTTGTCACAAAGATCCTTCCGAGTGGAAGCAGCCTCGCATCTTTCTACTGGGATATGAGAAGATGTCTCCATATTGAATCTCATCTTGCATTTATTATACGGTACCGCTCAAGCCGAGTGGGCGCGAGCTTGTTGGGCGGTCTGAAAGAGACTATTTGGCTACACTTGCAAGAGAACTCTATGTGTTCAGTACTGCTAAAAGATTAAGAACTACCTATTACATCCAAAAGCAAAGAATGGTCTAGTCTACACTTTATTAAGCTATGGAAATGCGTACAACAACATACACCCCAGATGACAATTTCGGCAAGGCTGGAATAAGTAGCGAGGGTTGAGATGTGTAGGAAATTATCTCCAGATTATCTTCAAATTAAATCATAGAGTGTGTTTAAATAGAAGGCTGTCAATAACGGCGAAACATATTTGGCGTTTGGGTTTTGACCGCGCTTCACCGTTGCCCACCAGACAATCGCACAATATCTTGCTCAACAATAGTATTGATAACAATAGGAACCCTAGCGTGTCCCAAACTCTCCCCTTCAATAGTTCACCACGAGGGCTTTACATAGCTTTCGCATCTTTTGCCCATCGGACCGTTGTATCTCCACAAACAATCGAACAAGATTCAAGCCATTCGAAGTCATCCTCAATATCGGCCTTAGCCAGACAACAGCATCAACAAAGAGGCAAGCATTGCTCAGCCGAACGTCCGAACATTTCCTCTGCAAAAATCGTTGATGGGCAACCCTGACACTTTCGGCATCGTTTATCCTCACGAAGCCATCGAGCCTCTTGCCTTTGCTGAAGACATTGCATTGTCAACATCTTCAGAGCACAAGAAAAAACGCCCTTCTGGTACTTTGAGCCCCGTTGACTCTTCCATAGCATCAACACGGTCCACTGTCTCTAGCATCGGGGCCTGATATCTTTCTAATCCTTCTTCCGCGATCATGGGCGACTTTTTGCCGATCAGTGTTGCTGATTTGAAGACCGCACAGCCTCCGAAAAAAGGGTTTGTGGTTATGAATTCGGTGAATCCGGACGCTCAATTTGTAGTAATGAGTGGTATATCATCCAATGATGCGTAAGTACTTAAATCGTTGATGGTGCCAAACCAGCTGACAATCAATAGCAAATTTGAAAGTGTCGCGCGCCCTATAAACCCCTACCAGTTCGAACCTGACACACCGTATATCAACGTCCAGCATCAAACCAAAATCACAGACTTCGTCCAAAAACACGGCAGCTCACCGATACCTCTTCCAAGTTCCCGGCTTGGGCATGCAAAGAAGTCGTATTCAGAGGGAAATGCTGTACCGATTACGCAAACATCCGAGGCTCCTGATACACCGTTCGAAAAGCCAATACTACATACCCTTCGATATAGGAGTGAGTCTTCTCCGAATATTCCTCCACTTCGGTTCGCGGAGCACCGTGATCCCAGCTCAAGCCCAACCTTCCAATCTTACCAGGGTGTTGGCGACGGTTTCGCCTTCCCTAATCGCCGCCTTCCTACCGCAGAGCAAAATAACAATCCATATATCCAGGACTATGGATCTAGTGCTGTGTCGTACCAAACTTCTCGGGACTACGATACAGAACGCCCAGCTCGCTCTCTATCTCGGCTGCAAGTACAAACTCATTGCAAAGTTGTCTCCGCTTCTGTGAATGGTCGCTATCTAACCAATTCGCCGACGAAGACCCTAGATGAGGTGTTCGAGAAAGGTGAGGCAGAAGGAACCTACCCAGAAAGCCCTGAGAGCTCACCCCCAAAACGATCTCGATCTCCTATGAAGAAGATGTTTGGTGAAAACGGGTGGCTCGGTCGGTCCCCAGCAGAGTTGGAGGATGTGAAATTCAGGGTCAAGAAAGGCTCATCAAGAAAGGACGAGTCCACCGGCTCACCCCAAAAGAAGACCGGCATGATGGGGAAGCTTAAACACAAGCTTGAAGAATTCGTAAGTAAGGCCTATCCATCAATGGAGTTTTTATCTGATGCAACTACAGGCCGAAAAAGCGGATCTATCTACTAAGAACCCTCGCTCCAGTCATGACAAGCACCCAAAGCTCTCGATCCTAGCCAGATCTCTCGGTCCACCCGAACAGGCAAGAGTCGACATGGAACTTGAGCTCAGTCTGGTGCATACGGCCAACAATTTTCTGATGAGTCAATTCCGTCAAGGTCGTATGGCCGTCGAATCTATCAAGAAAGTCAGCGATGCATGGAGAAGCAAGGGCCGTCATCGAGTCATCGAGTTCATGTATGATCAAGCTACACAACGAGAGCTAGTTGTAGCTAATCAGCACAATTTCCGCTTTCACGGTGAAAGAGCCGGAGACGAAATTCGGATCAACGCGATGCTCTACAACTGGAAGCAGGTCTCAAATCTAATGGCGATTCGCACATTTTGCAACGCAGATACTGTCATTCTGAAGCTCATTTTTGATATCGAGCAGATTCTCGAACTCCTTGGTGCGACAGAGCCCATTTTGCTTAGACTCCAGCACGTTCGAGCCCAAGCCAGTCAGTCTATGCGTGTTGCCCACCGAAGAGAAACCGACCGAAAAGAAAACGACAAGACTACTAGTCAACAATACGGGGGCAGTAAAGCGATCGATGGATCGATGTCAACCGACAACTCGACTAGCGAGAGGTACAGGGGATTTCAGGAGCAGGCGAAGGACAATCGCTCTTCCACCGCCAGTGCTCTCAGCGCCACCACTCGATCAGTTGCAACAGACAAGTCCTTCGATGACCCCTATGGCGGAATGAAGCTTGTCCCTGATTACTACGTCGAGGACTCCTAGGCTACTTATGTGGGAAATAAAATAAAATAGAATTCAGAGCTTGACACTCGTGAGACGAGAGAGGAGTGATAGACCCGCATTACAAAGGCGACGATATTCCCAAGTAAAAGCCCCCTAAAATAAGTAGAGGTAGTTGCCTTCTTTCTCCCACGTGCTAAATTTCCATGGTATGGTGATCCGGTGGGGCTGGCATGTGCTATTTATTTATTGCCCTTACAGTAGGCAACTACGTCATTTGGTAATTTCTGCACCGCCGCTGTTGCCTTTAAGGCCTCTGAGAGGCAAAGGCAACGTTTCCTATTGACCTGCATACCGATACTACGCGTATTACTTTCTCTCTGTTCGCGTACGACGTACCGTACCGGACCCTACCCACGGTATCTTTTGTCTTGTCATGTCAGCAGACCTTGTGTAAAATACAAATCAGATACACACATCTACATCTACATCTCATCCTTCTGATTTCATCCGATCTTACTCCATCCTTCTGTTTCTGTTCATGCAACCGCCTCTGCTGGGCAGAGCTGTGTTTGTCTGCATTCTACTCCGCTATCTTCGTGTCAATTCACCCGCCATACAGTAGGTTCATGGGATACCTAAGCAGCTAACACGTCCTGACCGTTGCAGTTGGTCATGTCTCAGTCTGCTCATACCTACGGACCGACATGCCGCCTCTCTCGAAAGATGTCCTCCTCCGGCTCCAAGGGCCATGATGATTGTCCAGAGCTCGAGGCACAGTTTTTCTACAGCTCGCCACTTCCTATCGACGATCCGCTCTCTGTCGTACCGACTCCAAATGGGTCCGAATCCAAATCGGTCAAGCACCCTCTCCGGCCCTTCTCGGCATACGACAATGATTCTCTCGAAGAGGCATGGCGAGGTTTTGCGTCAGGGAAGGACAATAAACATCAGAAGAAGCTCAATGATTCAACAGATGGCAAGTTGTTGAAATTAAGAGAAAACACATCTACCGGACAAGCTTCACAATACGTTATAGATCCGCAATCCTCAAAGGGTTCCACGCCGCAGAAAGCTTCACAGTCTGTACAAGATCCAAAGAGCAGAAAACATCCACATGCCTCGACGGGATCGGAGCAGGAGCCAGCCTCAAAAGCTGTACGAGGTTCACAGAGCATAACCAAATCATACGGGTCAACAGTATTGTCAAGGGGGGCCTTCGGAGACTCTGATGCCGTAAAGGGTTCACCGGACGGGACAAATCCGCATTCGGAAGTTGATGAAGACCGAGAGCAAAGCGACAAGTCTATAGGTGACATTGTCAATAAAGATAAATATGGCGCGAATAAAAAGCACGCAAGGCTATCCCAAGGTGATGGTGCAGATGAGCGCTTACCCAAGGAGCACCTGAAGGCTTCAAGTGAGTCACAAACATCTGGACATCGAGCGTTTCGCAAATATGAACCTTTAAAAGGCCATGAAGATTTCGAGAAGCATCTGAAGATTGAGCATGGCCGTGACCATTCAGATCCTCACGGCTCAGAATCTTCTTCCATGACACCGAAGTTATATTTGCCTCCAGGCTCCCTCGATGGAGAAGATGATGTCGGTATATCAGGGAAACCGTTTGTGAAGTTGCCTTCCCGTAGATCAAGCCCCCAAAGACAGCCGTTGCGATTTTCTAACCACGACGATGCGGAGAGTCAAATGCCAGTTGCAGAGTCCGCTGGCAAGTATCCAAGCGACTTACTCGATACTGATGGGCCTGCTTATGGAGAAACGGAAGATATGCATGTTCACGATTGCAAAGCGCACAAAAACACCAAAAAACATGCAGATGTTCCCGTGGGCATATCTCGTCTTCATCTCGTCAAACTGCCTGCTTTACATATGCAGCCTATATATTGGTCTCCTGTCCACGACGAAGCAAGCGTAACTCGTGGCACATGGTTCTATAAGAACACAATGTTACCAGTTGAGCCGGCTGTTGCCAACCAGCTCGAGTCGGGTTATAGGGAGCTTGGGTGCTGGTCTGAAACATGGAACGATGAGCTTAGGAGCGCGATGGAAGTTGGAGCCGCTGGGGAGGAAAAGATTGCTCATCGCTTATGGCCAAAAGAAACCGATGCGAGAACTAGTTCGCGCAAATCCATGTATCCTCACCTTTCAACTAATCCTTACTGTGCTGCGATATGTTTTCATGGAGAAGCTGCTGCTGAAGGCTCAATTGTCCCTGGCGAGAAGTCGTCAGAGTCGAAAGTGCTAGCCAAGAAGTACAGTAATGCCCAAGTCATATACAAGGATGCACAGAATGCTTTCATCCTCAAGCCAAATCTCCAGCCTTCTGCTTATTATGGTCGAAAACCATTGCAAAAGATAATGAAGGGGGCAACCGTCGGGATCCATGTCGTCCGTGGATTCGACTGGAAGAGCTGGGAGAAGATTCATCCTTCCAAGAAGACAGACGCAGTGACGAAGGTAGAAGAAAATGCTCCAGTTGCCGGTGATGCAGATGCTGCGAGTTCGAACTTTTGCCCAGCATGTCGATCACAAGAGAAGCAACCCAAAGTCACTGATCTCTGTCTTGTCGTTCATGGAATAGGCCAGAAGCTTTCAGAACGCATGGAGAGCTTTCACTTCACTCATGCTATGAATGCATTCCGCCGAAGTGTTACAGCTGAGCGTGGCAATGATGCTGTCAAGAACGTACTCCGCAAAAGTCTAGGTGGAATCATGGTACTGCCAGTCAATTGGCGGTCCAACCTTTCTTTTGAAGGGGAAGATCCTGTCAAAGATGACGGTGAAGACCGCCACCAATCTGATTTCTCTCTGAACGACATCACACAGCCTACTATCCCAGCAGTTCGAACTCTTATATCCGACGTGATGCTAGATATCCCATACTACTTGTCGCGTCACAAATCAAAGATGATACAGGTAGGCTTATTCTCATACAAAAAGCCATTTCCACCTATGGGAGCTGTTTCTAGAGCCCATATGCCGGCTCTCGAGACAGCTTCTAGGCACCTTGGCTTTCCCCCAGCACTTGAATTTTTGCGGTACTAATTCGTTGGGACAGGCTGTCATATCTGAAGCCAATCGAGTTTATCGATTATGGTGCAAGAATAATCCAGACTTCCAACGGGGAGGCCGAGTGCATATCATTGCTCATTCGCTCGGGAGTGTTATGGCAGTCGAGATCCTAAGCAAGCAGCCAACCTCAGTCCCGAAGGTTGACGTCCATAGCAGGAGAATCGACGTGAAGCATTTCGATTTCAATACCACAAACCTGTTCTGTGCAGGGAGTCCGGCCGGATTTTTCTTTTACCTGGAGAAAGCCAAGTTATTACCACGCAGAGGTCAAGGTAAACCCGATGCTGAGCACCGAGACGAACTGGATAAGAAAATTACCGGGGAATCTGGCACTTTTGGCTGTATGGCAGTCGACAATGTCTACAATATCATGCACTACAATGATCCTATTGCCTACCGCCTCAATGCCACTGTTGACGCACAGTACGCCTCCAGCCTAAGGAATGCCCAGGTTCCGAGTGCAACAACCGGCTTCTTCGAGAGCATTGGCCATGCTATGAGGTCAATGATTCCTGGTGTTTCTGCATCGGCGGACACCTGTGTTGGTGAAGTCTCAAGGCCTGGAAACATTGCTCGTCTTCCGTCTCAGTTGGAGCTAGAGGTCCATGATTTCACACGCGAGGAGATCGCAGAGAAGAAGTTTTGTCTCTTGAATGACAATGGCCAAGTGGATTGGTGTCTTAGCTCTGGTGGCGGACCTCTCGAGATTCAGTACATCAATATGCTTGGGGCGCATAGCAGTTATTGGATCAGTCCTGGTTTTGTGAGGATGATCGTTACGGAAGTTGGAAGAGAGCCAGGTAGAAGCTCGACTCTTCCCAATATGAGGGCTACGAAGGTTGGCCATAAAGCATAATGAAGGATCATAGACTTAGATGAAAGCTGAAAGATGGTGCAGGACAAAGATATATGTATGGTATTTATTGGCGAAATGGTTAGATTGTACTTCGTGCAAGCAGTTTAAAGCGGGCGTAAAGGTTCGGGAATAGATAGATCTATGATACCCATACAGTACCTAAAGAATGAAGAAGGGAAACATGAACAGATTAATAATTCAATATCATACAAGAACAAGAAAAGTTTCCTTTTCCTGGTTCTTTGGGTGGTACAATACTGTAACCTTTCTTTCCCCTCTCGATCCACCTGATTATATGGTGAATGTAGCATAATCCTGTATTCGCCAGATGCGATGTCACGTATATCCCTATGTTCCTGGGAGGCGTCATGAAAGCATGTAGGAATACGCCGCCTATTCATATAAAGAGTACGTATAACACGCTCCTCCTTCCTACCCCCGAGATGCATTCATGCAATGCAGCACGACCAGCCAGTCAGACTACTTACTGTACGTGTATTTCCCTACCTATTTCTACCTACACTTAATTACACTCAAGTTAAATATATGTACAGTACAATAGCCAAAGAAAGATGGGTACATCACCTCTTAAAATCTGGCACTCCTCGGGACCGTGAAAAGCCTTGCCTTTTCATATTCTGCGGGAACAAAGCTAGAGTCTGCCTAATTGGACCTACCCAAGTGGCGGTACAATAACCTCAAAATAGCAAGAGATTTGACGGTACTTGGCTGATGTTCCGAGAGCAGATACCAAGTGCAAGAGCAGAACGCAATAAGACTTCCTAATTTCGGGAGGAATTGTCACCCGGGCTCGCCGCAGGTACTGTTGTTGACATCCTCATTGCTCCATCGCTGAGTTGGTTGAGTTCTCATAGCTCTTAGCTCCACCGTTCGGAATACCACGTGTGGAACAAACTCAGCTTTTCGGGCAACAACCGGTCTTGCAGCTTCACCGATAACCAAAAACCGGGAGGCTAATACTTGTTTGTGTAGCAACATAGTCTACCAACTGCCGATCAGTAGTGCTAGCCTCTTGCTTATTCCAATGCAGGAGACTTGAGATCCCGGAGTAATCCTACCAGATACATAGTGGTTGGAACGAAAGTTGAGGTTGAATCATAGTAGTGACATGGACTTATTTTTTCTTCACAAGTGTTGTAGCTCTTTCGTATTCAGAGGCTTACATGCGTTATGTTTCCCTCATATTCGCCTGCCTCTCAGTCAAGGTCTTTGGCTTTGAAAAAGCTTTGGGGACTTCGCTTTGCCCCCAATTCAATTCGCCTGCTACGGGATGTAACGTAAAAGGTACCAGATTTCAGGACGATGACTGGGCCTTGCAATCGAGGGTCTTCTGATCGCCCATTGTGAGGGGTTGTTCTTCAGGATCCCTGCCAGAATCCTAGGCAAGACACATGGCGAACACGCAGCACAGTCGCTATGATCGTCACCCTTCGACGAGGTCCCCGAGGTCCCCCGGACTCGACGGTCACACATCATGCGCGAGAATAACCAACTGTTTCACGGTTAAATTCTAGAAGCTGAGAATAGAATTTGCTCGCCGAGTCCTGCAGCGGGCAACAAACAGGGGGAGGTGATCAAAGCGAACAAGAAAAATCGATCTGCAGAAAGTGGTGCCGGGAGCAGTACGGGAAAAAGCATATCAAGGTTTGTGAGGACAGATATGATTCGAAAAGAGCACCAGCAGAGAGCATGGATAATAGTTTGACGTGGTTGGATATGGTTGTTGGTGGCGGAAACGAACGTCCAGCAGTCATCCTGGCAGGAAGCTCGAGAAGAAGTCTTATCAGAACTCCATTACTAGAAAGCGAGTGAAAGCTTGTTGGTGTGAAGGACATGTGGCAGTAATGGGGCAAGAGACAACCATCAGTCGGTCGGCGTAGGACCTCAGACCCAAAAATGAAGAGACTTTCGTCACTGCCAGAATGTTGGTGTATTCCCAAGGATCGTTACGCGCCGTGGTCGAAATAGGACGACCGTTAGACCTAACCGGACGAGCCGGAGAATATAAAGGATGGTAAGAGTCGCAGACTTGCAGAACACATGGCCATGGTCTTTTGGTAGGGTTCTCACCCTCCCGCGTCATATGAAGCTGCAAGCCAGCGGCGCAGGAACCGAGGACAAAACACTACACTGTACAGTAGGGAATTGACTCGGTATGGGAGCCCGGTTGAAGACAGCGACAACAGAGCAAGGGATTTTGAGTGGCCAAGATTGAAGAAATGGTGTGTATCTACCCACCTTGGAGCTCTCAAGAGGGAACGAATAACAACACACAGGGGAGCTTCGACTTCTGTCGGCGCGAAAGAGTAGAGCCCGGAATGAGAATCAAGCGCTCGCGACTAACGAGTAAAGAGGAGGCTTGCCGCGATTCTTTGGTGGCTTTTGAAGTCCCGGGAGGGCTGAACCTGGCGGCTCTATCACCGCTGTGAGTGGTAGGATGAGGTTTTTGTGCTCTAGACCTACAGTACTACTGTGCTTTGTGTGTAAACTTTATCGCAAGGGATCTTACGTGGGGCATAGGGCTGAGTTAAACGTGGCAGAAGAGTAGGCCGTATACTGTCATGTATACTCCGTTTCAGGGCGCGTACACGATACAGCAGCTGATCATTGCGATCGAAGGTCGATCCATCTTCAAAGAATTCGAATTGAAGGATGGATGGAATGCTCATCGAAGGCCACAGCCTCAGCCCACGAAGGATAGAAATGCACCGCCGTGGGCTTCTGCTCCTGCCGCGTCAAGTGCGTACTGGATACTTGATATGGTATGCATTGGAGTAGGTGTAGGTGTAGGAGTAGGGAGGCGGCTGAGTGCGGAAACTTGCTTGGAGGGTAAAAAATGTATTGGGGCTAATAATTATAGTAGTTTGTAACACTCCTTCTTCTGTTCATGCTTCACCGCGATTGCCTTCCCAGACACATACCTACCTAACCTAAGGTAGATAATGTTAGTTTAAACTAGGGCCTACGTGACCTGAATCAGCCTGCACCTATCTTCGTAATATTGAGGCTGAGAATTGGTAATGTTGGTAATATATTTACATGTAATATTAATACAGTCAGACGGACAGCGGTGGAACGATGAAATATAATTCGATGATGCAGTGAGTTTGGAACATCATCTGAGCCTCACTGAGATCGGGAATCGATTATGGGTTAGCTCGGATGGTATCCCTAGCATGGATGGGGATTATCATCACGACCAGGATACTTCGTACCTCGTCGGGTGCGCTGAAGCCTATATTTACTGGTTGAGGCGCTTCCGGAACGGCGAGCAGTTACTATCAAAAAGCTCTACTTCTACGGCTGTGTACCGGTATCACGAAATGCTAATAACCATCTCAAGATCGCAAGTTATGGTGGTGAACCTTCGGACCACCCTCTTAGTCCAGAGAAAGTGCTGCGGTGAGGAGAAATCATCCATCGCTGCTTGTGACCATTTTGCGAGACTCTATGTTTTTATCTCCCAAATTGCAATACAATGCAGGTGCATGTTTTTTTATTCTTGGAACACCTTACTCAGATTCTTTGTAATTGACGCTACTGTACTGTTGCTGCTAGTCATCTGACACTACCACGCAAGGTAAATTTACTTATTATATATATGTTTCACTTTTACTTGTCTGCTGTTGCATTACTAGTCCGATCTCGGATATTTGTCACTCATTACCAACCTTCTCGCTCAGTAGAGTCTAACGGGGAAAATTACCTAGATCAGACTGACACTTCCTCAGTCCGGCTTGACCAAGAGCCGAGCAAACTCCACTCACAGAACACTGAGAACAGACTGCGTGCGCTGCGCTGCGGACGTGCATGCATCCTTGCCTGCCATGAGGGACCCCAGCCAGCCCTGTCTCCGTACGTGAAGAAGAGGCAGGGACCATTTAACCGCTCAAGAAGCGCGTTCTACAGCACCGTTCATTCGTTCGCCGGCAAAGACGCCTGATTGGGGTCAGCAGGGATAACGATCCTGCTGCGTATAAGAACCAATGAGTACGAAGCACTCGAGAATTCGCATCAACAAGTACTGCGCTAGCAGGGAGAGCTTCCAAGCTTCAAGCTTCTTCAGGCAGGCTGCATCCTGGCTAGCTGAGAAGCCCAGGGCAGCAGAAGTTCAGAACACACACCCGCCCGCAAACTACTGATTTGGAGATTTGTTCTGTACGGAATCAATACCGTACTTTGCTACTTGATTGTTCCCGTAGCAAATTTTAACAGTAGTGTAGCGTAGCATACCCGCCAACATTTGAAGACTAAAGTGAGCTCTCCATAAATGCCACTACATACCTACTGCCAATGCCACTGCTACCCACACGCACTGCAAATTACTAGCTTCAGTGAACGTTGTTGAGACCCATGCAAGCCTTCAGACAACACACGCCAAAGGCAAATTTCTCATTGGCGAGTTCGTGAAATGGGCTTTGTAACTTTGTAACAAGACAAGTATGAAAATTGACTTTCCATGAAGACTCCTTTCGGTTTCTGCTGAGTAGCACAAGTTGGTATTTTTGCCCTCAATATTCTCGTCATCTCTTGACCATTCATGCGTATATCCCTATTCATAGCTAAATCACTGAGGATTGCTGTTCCCTGTCCTGTGTCATGCTTCCCTTTCAAGGTTCAAGCAACCAGACTCCATGCCTCAAAGATAATATATCCTACCTACTATACATGTCCTGTCATAAAAAAGGGGTATTCTACTGTGCCCAACCAAAAGCAATGCAAATTCCTACCCAAGCCATGCCCTGACCTCATAACCCTTTGTTTAGTACCGGAATAAATGCTCGAGAAATCTGCTATGTTCGGGGCCCTTCTGCGAGATGCCTGGAAGATATGATGACAATCAGCCGCCCCCAACGCCATTAAATATCCTGCAAAGCATCAACAAACAAGTGCTGACTGCTTGAGATTCTGCAAACTGCTAGTCTGCCAGACTCTGTAGAAGTAACGCCCCGCAGGCGCCAAGCTTCGCTTTCCCAATCAATTTGACCAAACTGCTTCTTGACTGTCACCACCGCCCATATATTCATGCCTCTCTAGGTAGGAGCCTGATGCTGACGTGAGGGAACTGTCATATGGACCGAGACTTGTAGAGCTTCCTGGAGGGGAAGAGTAATGCGAGGAGCTGTACGACGCCTGTCTTGACGGCATTTCAGAAGCGCGAGAAGTAATCCTCGCAGCCCCTTGGTCCCCATTGTAACTTTGAGGCCTGAAATCAACTGTTTCAATGTCGAAGCGCTTTGAACAGCCATCCTCCATGTGTCTGTGAAAATGTCAGTAAACATTCTTCTGTGTAGGTAGGGAATTTTTAACGGACCTTCTGAGCGTATCTTTCCTTGCGAAATACCTGCTGCAGTAATCGCATCGATGATTTCGCTGTTTCATGTGAACACTTTGGTGGTGTCTCTGTAAGTCTGTCTTCCGGACGAACTTCTTGTTGCAATCTTTCAACGGACATGGAAATGGGTACTCGCGAGTCGCATCATGGGTTTCCATATGAGCTTTGAAATTGTAGCTTCGGCCAAATAACTTCCCACAACCTTTCACATGGCATTGAAAGTTTGCATCTTCCTTGGTTGTGAGTTTCCGTGGCTGTCTCGTTCTTGCGATGGTATTGGGACCCCGTCGTGGGCCTTGAGATCCAGAGCCAGAACGTTCTCGGCTCTCAGAGCGCCTGTCGTATGGTGGAATCGGCAAAGATGAGATAGATGGAAGATCCTGAGGCCCGGAGTATTCGATTTTTGGCCAACCCATAGGGGAATGTTGGTCTTGGTAGAAAGTTGCGTCGAGACTTCCCGGGTATGGACTAGTAGAAGTAACAAGGTGACTAATTTGCGGCGAGTTCATAATCATAGACTCGCTGGCATTCACGTAATCTGAATGATCCTCCATTTTGATACGTGGGGTGTAAGAGTGGATAGATCCAGCTTGAGTGAAGACTTCAGAAGCTGGTGTCGAAGAAAAAGATGAGCGTTGGGATGTGTTACCAGAAGGTGCTGGTGAAGCAGGAAGGGCTGTTGGTTCAACGTTCTGAGTCGAATATATATCATGACTGTACGCAGCTGATACTGCAGGATGGAATGGAGCAAAAGGATCATACTCTGCAGATAAGGCGTTAGGGGTCGGTTGAGAGGATCTAGGTTCATTACGATGTTGTAATGTGGTTGTTGGCCAGGTGTTGGTGGCTGTGGATGACGGGACCACAGGTGAAGTTTCAACAACAGATGCTCCAGACATTGTACATGAATATAGTCCTAAACCCTGGAGAGACTCCGTTGGTTTGTATGTTGAGTCACTTTGAGCAGGGGAAGGGTATTCGTAGAGTGGTTGTGGTGTTGAATTATATTGGAAAGGCGAGCTTGGTGAGCGGTTGGATTGCGGGGTCACCTCCATCTCGAGGCTGGACGGAACAGAGGAGAATATGTAGCCTACGTGAAGGAGGTGATGAGATGACTAGCTGTTGGGAGGGGGGCTAGACTGGGCCAGTCGAGTGATTGAACCGAGAGATACGATGGATGTGCGAATCTGCTCCTGGGAAGGAAGTACGAATACACTACTTGATTGGTACGTTGAACAACAGAGCAGCTGTTAGTGGTACAGTGGGCACGTCAAAGAGCCCCTGGATCTAGGCGGTCGAGGAGGAAGTAATCCCGGTAACGATCCAACACGCAGTAAATAGGTACGGAGTACGAAGTACGAAGTAACAAGTCAAATACTCGGGATGGAGTGCGGACTGAGTGAGTGCCAGAGCGGATGGATGAATAGATGGGAGGTTTGCAGGAAGAATATTAGGAATAGAATCTCGCACTCTCAAACAGGATGACAAGGCAGATTTGAGGGAAAGCTGGGTCTTGAACAAGATGAAAACACGCCTACCAGGGTTAATGATAATAAGAAAGGCAATGACAATCCTGCTGTTTCCAAGGGTCGACGGCAGTGGTCCAGTTGCGATACTAACCAGATGAAGGAAGATGAGAGGAAGTGGTAGTTTCTTACTAGGTAGTGCACACAATGCCAGCCACCCCGGCCACCAGGTTCAAGTGACCGCTGTGGGCTGCAGGAGGGTGCAAGTTGGTGGGAATCCGATGCAAAGGTACGGAGCTTCTTACCAGAGGGTCTGACGCTGGGGCGTACACACGTAAATTACAGGGGGGAGATGACAGGGAGCGATAGGACTATAAACAGTGGCGGAGAGGTGGGGTGGGGTGAAGATGGTCTGAGAGAGAGGGAGAGAGAGAGAGAGAGAGAGACAGGGAACGGGGGGACGGGGAC